GACCTAAGCTGTAGTTCCAGTGTTGAAACTGAACTCTCACTAATATCAGCTCTTAGGAGGGACCAAGTGCTGTTGCCTGCACCCCTTCACCTCTCCAGCCTTGCTTACGTATATCCCTGCCATGCCTCAAACATGTAGGTGAACTGTCTAGGGCTTTAGATTCCAGGATGCCCAGGGATTTTTAGAACTTCTTCCAATGTGACGGGTGTGCTCCCCAGGGAAGACAATGGGTTCCTCCACAGGAGAATCTCCTTCAAGAAGCCTTCCCAGGCTGTCCTCCAAGCAGGCTGAGCTACCCTTCTGCGTCCTCCCACAGGGCCCTGTGCACCTCTCTGCAAGGCTGTCATGTGGCCGTCATCTCACTTGATGTGTGCACCATGTCCATTAGGCAAGAGGTGGTGCCCAGTATTTGTTCTGGGGATGAAAGTGTGACGGCTTATTATGTCTAGACTTGTGTGCCTAGGCTTTGCCCACCGTTTGTGCTGAGTGGAATGGTGTGAGGGCAGGAAAGTGAGTCAAGCTGGGGTCAGGGTTCCTTGTCTGGATCATGGGAGCACACAAAGAACCCGGCCCTCCTGGAAGACACAAGTGGTTTCTGTTCCCTGTGACATCTATGGAAGTCATGGTCTCCCCATCCCCACTTGGAGTGCCCTGCCTCACTGGCTGGACAGGAGCTCTAGTCCTTCAGGCCAGGGGAGTCCAGAGTGGACATGGGAAGCTCATTGGCTGCCGAGTTGGGGAGTGCATGTCTCTCAGGAGGATGGAGCCCTGTAGCATCGGATGGGATGGGATGGGATGAGACAGCAGGGGAGCCAAGTAGTGCCCCTCCTAAGCCTGGCTTCAGATATGCTTTTGAGAAAATAGAAAACAAGACTTTTTACATCTAGTTCCATAAAGGAAGCCAGGCTAGAGGGTTTGAGGGGAGTGCTCTCTAAAAATGTAAGTCCAATTCCCCATGCAAGTATCACATTGCAAAAACAATTTACAGGCACTTAAATTTTTACCATTTAACAGCCACTAAAGACAGATTCTGGGTGGGTGGGAAGAGATGCCAATTCCTATCAAGATCTGATTGCTTAGAACTCTGAGCCCCAAACAAAGGCATCAAATTTAATTTTTGAAAATAGGGCCCATCAAGATGAACTTTCACTAATTAACAAAACCTGACATTTTTCCAGATGCATTCTCATCTCCTGTTACCACCATCAAATGTTAAATGTGGGGAGAGGGGATTGCACATAAAAAGTTGGCTGAGAGAGGCCTTCACTGTGAGCTCCCCTTTGGAAATAAAACTCATCTCAATAAATCACAATGGCTCTCTGCCATCCTGAGTCTTCTCCTCTCAGTTTGCATGGCCAAGCGAAGTTCTAGCCATATGTTCACACCATTTGGGGAAAAACACATGGAACCAACAACACAAGCATTGCATTTGAGTAAATTTTTTATCATGCTAAGTGTGTTCACTCTAAATGTGTAAAATATACTGTGTCACTGCCCCCTCCCCAAGGGAACACTAACCTCTCACATGGGACCAGCATTTTTTAAGCCATGAGCCAAACACAAGAAACTCCTGCCCATATGTCCTCTGTCACTTGTTGCTCTCCAGCTGTCTTATTCTAAGTCACAATGGGTGTATGAAAAGTTGAACAAGAAAAATGCTATGAAGCCAAGACCCTAAGTGCTGTCCAACAGACACACCCACGGGCATTTAATAGGTAGAATATTCCAGTAGCCCCAGGTACATGGAACTTCCAGAACCTAAGTAACCTGGTGCCCATGGTCATGTCAGTTCCATTAGGGGGTTCCCCTTCCTGGACTAACATGGATTTCAACCTAGAAAGGCAGCTGGGATCTGGTTAAGGCCAAACTGATTTCTCACAGTTCCAGCTGGGGAAACTCATGGGGCCAAGGCACTTTTTGAAGAAATGTAAATTGCAAATAAAGGTTCTGTGGTGTATTTTGGGCTCATGTGACAAACCCTGGGAAACTTGGTCCTCAGTAGAGGGCTTGTACCCAGCAGGGATTTGGACTCATGTTGTTCCCAGAAGTTCATACAGTCCACGGGCGCAAGAGGGAGAGGTAGCCGAAGGGGCTGTGGGACTGAGGTGAGGAGAACTGTGTTTCCTTCTCAGCACAAACACACAGATGAAGCTCCAGAGGATTATGGAGAGGACAGCAAAAGGGACGAGACCACTGGGAAGACACAGCATTGCCTAGGCTTCCCTGGTTTTGGTTTAAAACAGTGCCATTTTTAATAGATGCACAGAGAGTGAACACGTGGGGTAGAAGTGGAGCTCAGTGTCAGAGTGCTTGCCTGTCATGTGTGAGGTCCTGGGTTCAAACCCCAGTACCACCACACAGACACACACACAGACACACACAGACACAGTGAACAGGGGATGTTGCTTCTGTGCTGAAGTAAAAACAAGAGACTCCTCTTGGCTTTAGCTCTGTAGTCACTGTCCACGTGGCTTCTGCTTCAAACATCCCTGGTCTAGTGTGGAATTCATGTAAAGCTGAAAAAAAAAAAATGTCGTGGCACATATTGGTTCTAGGTCCTGGCTTGGTTCCAGTTCCACGTTGCAAGGTGTCAGCCTCTTCTCTTTTCACATGTGGATGTGATAATGTTCTACACCAAGGCTTCTGTAGAGAACAACTAGAAGCTATGAAATTCCTTCAAATGCAAGATATGACCAAATATTAAATAACCACCACTTACTTACCAGAAAGCACTGCTGACAATGCTGTGGTCCTCACCTGAAGAAATTGCTCGATGGGGGAAGGGTATCTCCCAAGAAGGCACATTCATGGGTGGGGTTCTTGATGCTTTGGGAAAATCTAGCTTGTACAATGTACAGATCTTGAGCCTGCTAAATGCCAAACTTCTGTAGAAGTGTAAAGCTCAAGCTTCATTCATTAACACAACCTTTTGCTGCATAGAAAGATCGTTCTGAACCTCACTTGTACAGCCACAGGACTATAGCACACTCAACTAAGTGGGAAGATAGGGTGGAGTAGGCACACACAGAAAAGTGCATGGGTACTCTGCATATGCCAGATGAAAGGAAATATCAAGCCAAACATTGTGATGGGTCACCTGCCATATAGCCCTTTGAAATGTGTTTTGTTCAGGCAACACAAACTTGTCACATGACTGTGTTCCAGATCTGCTTCCCCTAAGTCTGCAGAACAGATCAGCTCTTCCAACACTCCTAGATGTGATATCCAAAGTGACATTCAAGAGGGAATCACACCTTGGCACTAAACACAGGTGAACAGCAGCCTAAGCCTTAGAGCTTTTATTGAAAACTCTATAAATGTCAGTCACACAAACTGTGTGATAGGTTGTAAAAACAGGGAGATAATACTTTAGGGCATCTCTTCAAAAAAACAATGCAAAACATGCTTCAGAGCACTAAAGGAAGTATATATATGTAATGTAGGACTAATATACACTGATTATAAACTTATCTAATTTAATCCTTATGAATCCTGGTGTTGTGCCCATATCAGAGGTGAGGAAACAGGTGACATCTCCTTCAACAAAGGCATTTCAATTTCCGCAGAAGAAATCATAGGACAGGAAAATAGACTTTTAGGCAAAGGCAGTATGATCTTTGACTAGTTGCTTTTCTCCAACATTCTGTAGTATGTTTATAGGAATCAGTGAAAAAACTAAAGGTTTCAGGCTTATTAGAGGTCAGAAAGTGCTTGGGATAAACAGGAATCTGGATTACAGGTTGCCACGAGGAGACTGTAAATAATTTTTTTTTTTTGTCAGAATACAATTTGGGGAAAGCTGAGATCGAACAAGTCCCTGAAGTCAGATTTGGGAAGTCAAGTCTTATGCTTCTGATACACTTGATGATCTCCTCCACCCCAAACTTTCCAGGTTTTATATTTTTAAATTCCAAAGTGAGCTAACTGGGAAATCCTGACTCTGGCATTTTAGAGGACTGCATGACCTAGATCATAAAACATAACTAGAGCCTGGGGATGGCAGCGGTGCACCTGACAGCTGGGATCCTTCAGTGAGATCCTACACGCCCAGGGCTGCTCATGTGGCATGTGGGCTGGTGGTGCCAGGCAAACTCACCCTCACATAGGACTGGGCAGGAGCCAGATGCTTCCAGGGACAGAGGCCTCAGAGCATCTGTAGGGTACATGGTTGAGTCTACAGGCTGCATTGCAGGTACAACTAGAACCACACTGTCTCTTCCTCTACAAAAATGAGTGTTTTCAGTGCATAAATGGTATACTGGGAAGACTAGTTCATTTCTAGAATTGTTTGACCTGAAAGCCTGAATGGAACTGAGTGGAGCCATTGTTCATTGATGACCTTTTAGAGCCCAGACGGAGTTTGGCAATTGTATGTGCACAGCACATCTCTGCTGGAATAATGTGCTACATTGGCAGGTTATATATTGTTACCAGAAATATTTACTAGTTTTAAAAAGCTTGCTGGACCATTAAGTTCAAGTTAACTTCTAAGTTCTTCTGATGTGCTAGGGGCACATGTGGCTGATGCTGCTAGGCTGGGCTCTCCAGTTAAAGCAAACACAACCCAACCAGAAGCAAATGGGGTTTGGCAAATGCAGCTCATTTATGATACTATTTTTTACTTCCTTGTAGATGAACAGACAGGGGAACTGGTACATGCAGTCTGATAGGAAATAAAAAGACTGCCAACAGTTCTGAAATGAACGGATTTCAGGGCAAAGGCTGTCTGCTTTTGTAAGAGGCAGTTAAGAGCTTACAAAGTGTAAGGTACAAGCCCATGCACCCTTCTAAAATGTTTTGTACTACTGTGTAACTAAAAAAATGGCTTAACTGGTCTTTGAACAGGTTGTATTCGTGAATAAGAACTGATTCTATACCTTTAATCAAAACACCAAAAAAGATATTTCTGAGCAGATGCCACCCAATATTTTTTACATAACATTAAAAAAAATTCAGTCAAATACCAACAGATTCCACTTTATAGCACCATTCCAAAATACTAAACTTTCTTCGCACCTTTATTTTTATCTTTTTTTGGGGGGGGTACACATTTAAAGTATGGGCATCCTGTAAATTTCTGAAAAGCCTCATAGAAAAGAAAAACAACTAATTTTTAGGACAAAGCAGTAACTCAGTTTATAGGCAAGATGATCTCAAGCAGGGTGTAACTTCTTCGTGGGCTTCTGTAAGTCTTGATGCTGGAGTGAGTGGAGAAAGGATGCTAGTGTCTTCCTGGAGGAGCCTAGAGACTGCTGTGTCAGTAGGTCCCCATGCTGCGCAGAGGGTGAACTCTGGGCACTGGCTACAGCTCAAAGCATGACACCAAGAGTCTTTTATGAAGACTTTAATCTTCTGGTTGACAAAAGAATTGGGTATTTATAACTTCAGAGTTTGTGTATACCTTTTATACATATTCTGTAAGAGAGAAATTAGAGTAATATTGAATCCCTCTTACAAATCTCCATGTTTTAAGCTTGGAGCAGAAAATCTGTTCTTAGCAAGCAGATTTAAAGTATAATTATAAATTGGTATTTAATACAAATATATATTGCTGTGTTATTATCTAAGACAACTGTTTGATTAAGCAATATGGGAGCTGATAGACAATGAGACTGCTTGCAGGAAAAATTATTTTTTTCTTGTGACACTAGAGAGTCACGTCTTATACTGATTATAACTGCATGTTCCTGTCTAGCTCGTTCACGTATTACTGTGAGCAATGTGAACCAAGATAGTAGGTATGGCAGAGGGTTGGGAATTGTTGAGTACACTGAGATTGGAAGAGGGGTGAGAGAGGTAGAGTCAGAATAAGAAGGGAGTCCACTAACAGCGTAATTATGCAGCAGTTTCAAAGGAATTGATTATTACACAATAACAGTCAATGACCCAGGAAGAGAAAGTTTTAGTTAGAGTTGATGAGTATTAAAAACCTACTGTGCACCAGGTAGGAAGGAATATGAGAATAATATGTCCTGAAATAGAAATAATCACTTTGCACTATGTACACCACATACAATATAACAACTCTTTTTAACATTGCACAATATAAATATTATACATGGTGGAGTAAACTAAATGCAAAATAACTGAGGCACACAGAAGAAACATGGATAGATTGATCTTTGATTAAAATTCAGATGGCATTAGTAAAAGGCAGAATGTTACATTTTCAGGCCAGTAAGCTTTGGAGATCTCACCTCAAGAGGGTGGGCAGCTACCTCCCATTTTTACTGGAAATAAACATATCTCAATGTCCTTAGAGATAATTGCTTTATGCAAAGACTAATTAGCTAAATAATTTGAGAAAATCAAACTGTTGCTCCCCACTCCAAAGTAGGTAACCCTGAAAGGTCATTTCTGACCCTAGGGTTCTATAATGTGAGGATGCTGCTGTATTTCCCTTATTTCTTGTAAATAACTTGGTTACTATGAAAACCACTTTAAGGAAACTAGAACAGTATTCAAGAACACCCATCACAGTGCTTAACAAGATTTAATGTACATTTATTCTTAACATGTGGAACATATAAAGATTTTATACTGAATAAATGATATTCATTAAGCCAGAGGAAAAGGAGGAATTTACATCAAGTTTTTTTCTTTTTTTTAAACTACATTATCTTGAAATACAAATGTGGATTTTCATCACTGAAAAATCTTTGAAGTTGTGTTTCTTCTTTTTAGCTGTATTTTTTCTTTTTTGTCTGTACTAGTAACCATTTTCTAAATCAATCCATATGCAACCATTTCCACACCTTGATTCATGAAGCAAATTGGGATCAGCTGCTCTCCCAAAATAGAGCATGACTTTATACATACAGAAACTTGTACATTACCCTCTTTTTTTTGTTTTTTTTTTTTTGTTTTTTGTTTTTTGTATTTTTCTTTCTTTTTTGGGAGATATGGCCCTAATGAAAAAATATATAAAATAAAAATAAAAAATTATTTAAATCTACTATCACTTCGTAGTTACCACATCATGAAAAAGAAACTAAAAACTTTGTACTAAAAAAAAAAAAAAAAAGAAGAAAAAAAATGAGGGTATGTTTAATGTACAACTTCTATATACATCACAGCCCATAGGCAGTAAAAAAAAATATTTAAAAAATGATTAAAGGAATTGTGAAGAACTGTCATGTGGAGGCCAAACGACAGACAGCAGACACGGTGGTAGTGGTGAGGAAGCAGGTTCTGTTGATCGCTGTCAGGGATGTACTTTCAATCCTAACTTGAAAAAAATTGTTTTTGCTCCTAGCCTAATGTGACCATTTTCCCGTGGAGAAACCAGTATCATTCATAGTTCTGATTACTCACTGACACACCTCCTTGAGCCCCTATCTATCTATCGCTCTAGAAGTTTCTATTGCACAGAGCTTTGGGTGATGGGATAAGTTTTTTCATTCTCTGATGAATAAAAAGCATAGAAAATTGGTAACTTTTCACCTTTTTGCCTCAGTGTGGTGAAATTTTCCCATCTTAGCATCTTTTGCCAAACTTTTTTCTTTAAAGTCAATTCGCTTCCCCAAAATGTAATACAACATGGAAAATAACATTAAAAAGAAAATCCATGAAAAATAAAAAGTGACTTTTGAATGCACTAGACAGCAACTTTGGTTAAAAAAAAAGAAATAGAAAAACCCCAAAAGGATGTACTTATACACACAGACAGCAAATATTAATTTCATAACTGTTCAAATTAATTATTTCTTTAATTCCCAATTGGTAAATAGTGAATGGGGCAGAGGAGCAAAGATTCTCTTTTCCTTCTTCCTACGCTGGATAAACAAGAACAGAAAACAGCCAGTTATATGTGACCCTCTAATCTTCACTCACACATGCTTGCCTTCTCACTTATGTCATAACTGCCCAATCTGAAATAGTACATCACAGATGACAGATGCAACCAGAGAGTTCAGGACAGCTGATATTGAGATATCCAGCAACCGGCCCTCGTGCAAAAGGAATTCTGAGCGGTTCTCGTCCACTCTGGCCATGGCCAGCAAAGCCTTGGCTGCCCTGCACATCATGTCTACGCTAGGTGGTTCCAGAGGCGGGGGCTGCATGTGCATGAGGTTATGCTGGCTCTGCTGGTATTGCGCCATTGTGACCCCGTCCTCTAGGAAGCTTATCAAGTTTCCAATGCTTCCCTTCTGCACAGCTATCGCCCTGGCTGCCAATGCATCTCCCTGGGCAAGGTTCGATAAAAGCGCCATGGACATTTCTCGACAGACTGGGTTTTTGCGATCCCCAACGTACCTAACTAATGTAGCATAGAATTTCTCCTGACGACTAAATGGAGGTGTGGCCAAGATCAGGTCCACATTGTTGTCCTGGATACTGAGTTTACAGAGGGTCTCCAGCACAAGTCTCTGAGGTGACAGGACTGAGTTGGGTCCCACGGTGGGAAACGGGTCCTGCGCCTCCGCAGATGGGCACACCATCCAGTGCAGCAAGCCATCCAGAATTGGCAAGCAGATGCTTTCTGTGTAGGCAGACAAGTCTAGCTGCCCAGAGATGTTGGCCAACGTGACCAGTGTGTTATCCCGCAAGACCTCGAGGCAGTCCCACCACCACTCATCTTTGCTGCAGGCCACCCCCTTGTCCTCGTCCTCCTCTTTCTCATAGGTCTGTGGCGCTCGTTTCCGCTCTGGATGCTCGTGGTGAAGAAGGATCAGCTTCCCCAGGATCAGCACCAAGCCTGGATGTTTGGACATCTCGGCGTCATTACCAGGCACAAAAGATAAGCTCCGCACGATGTTGGACACACAGATGCAGCGCTTAGCCAGTGAGTCCTGCCAGTGTGCAATGGTGCACAGGGGCGTCTCGTCTCGGCTCCTGGGCTCGTCCTCCAGCAGCTTGATGTTCCGGTGACTTTTGGCTTGCTGGATACCAAAGGGGAACTTGCTACTTTCTGTCTGGGGCCCGGGATTTGTGTCTTCAGGCAAGGCCCCTGGCCGAGCAGACAGGACATCGTCAATGGTGGCTATGATGCTTTTCTCTGGCTGCTCTTCAGAATCACCTTTTCCTTCTGACTCTCTCTTTCTACCCGTGGAGTTTGAAGGGGGTGGCGGGCGCCTGCGAGGTGGGATTTCCATCTTGCTTTCAAAGTGAGTCTGGATGTGCTCAGTGGTGTCGCCACCCCCAAGCTGCCAGTGTAGAAGCCCGCTGTTGAACTCTTGCACGCGGCCCAGCTTGTCTGACCGGTCAATGACAAATAAGTTGTTCTTTTTGACAATCTTTATTGGTAGCTTGTCAAACTTACTGGCTTGCTTGGGCTTCTCCTTGGGGTCGGCAGTGGCATCCACAGTGGTGAGAGCAGCAATGCCCTTGGCATCAGTTTCTGTCTTCTCACTGTCTTCCTCCTCCTCCTCCTCCTCTTCCTCCTCATCAAGACACTCAGTGTCTTCTTCCTCCTTCCCAGAATCGTCTGCCAAGGACTGGCTATCTTCTTTCTTCACTGCATTGTGGTCAAGTGCTTTTTGGCTGGGGTCTCCCACTTCATATTCCATAAGAATTCCAAAAATGTCAATCAGGCATTTTCTATAGTACTCTACTAAAAGTTCGAGAAATCCAGACAACTAGAGAGAATAGGAGGAGAAGAACGAGAAAGAACAGGTACAATGTCATGAGATCAGCTATGACTGGGAGGGATAAAAATTCTGAAAGCTATTGGAGCTTTTTGAAATTATTTTCACTCTTTTCTAACTAGGCCATGAGAGGTAAACTGTATCTGTGAGAACAAAATTCTGGAACTTACACCATCAACTCAACAACATGGAGCATGTTTCCTATTTTTGCTCATTTCTTCTTACTCTGCCAACATGAAAATCAACTTCTCATTTCCACATTTCTAATATTATCAATGAGGGAGTGATTTGCTATTTTTTACCTCTCCTTTTTTTTCTGATTTAGCTACCATGCGCTCAGTAGTAGATGAGCAGGAATGTGCATTTTGCAGACTCTTTTACCTTCTAGTACCGTGTCTGAGACTTGCTTGCTCGTATTTTTACAGTTATTATTCTTAGGATTTTATGGTTATTTTTGTCTCAGGTGGCACAGGTTACCCTAATTTATGTCCTCTATATATTTTTTGGAGAAGATAATTTCAGCACTGTGGTAGTTCATAAACACTGAAAATTAGAAACAAATCAATTTAGGCCCTGATAAATGAATTAGAATGTTTCATAAAATGCAGTTTTCCACTTCAGTTGTTCATAGCTTTAGCTGAAACACAAAGGTGTGGGGAGAAAGTCACTGCCTCTGAGAATGAGCTGTTTCCTCTGAGTACACATCTGTGTCAAGGGAAAAGCAGGACATTCCATGCTGTATGGCCCAGGCATACCACCTCCTGCCACATTCAGGGACTGTAGAAAATAAGCAGGTAATGAAAAGAGTTCCTTTATGCCAATATTACGGAAATCAGCCATGCTGCTGTGTCTACTGTTAGGTTTTTGAAGGACTTGCAGTGATCGTTGAGAAGTTGGAGGACCTGAGCACCAAACTTTTTCCAAGCACTTTTGTTTAAGCCCTAAATGTACAGCTTTCTATGCATAAGATTTTTCTTTGAGGAAATGGGAATAAAGGAAATCTTGGTATGAAACTAGGTGACCAGCAAAAGTCCACCTATTCTAAAGATGAATGCTAATTACCCTAGTGAAAGCCAGCTAAAATTTAAAAATATTTACTTTGCATAAATATGTCATCACACACAACATTTACGACTTTACTCATTCACTCTTTATCAACTGAAAGTTGCCTTACTGGGCTACTCTGAGGGCTTAAGCGAGAAGAAAAGCGGGTATGAAAATTCTGGACTTACATTTTAAAAGAAACAAGGAAATCAGATGTGCTAACTTTTCTCACAGAAAGTAGAGTTGTGTATAGGGCAGAACAGTCTTTTCTTATTTTTATTTCTAAATATTTCTTTACATTTTTTGGTTTGCTTTTGAAACAGGTTCTTGCTATACAGTTGAGGCTAGTGTTGAACTCACTGTGGGGCCCAAGATAACCTTGAGCTCATGATGATCCTTCTGCCTCAGCCTCCCAAGTATTGGAAAAGTCCAACTGACTCTCAGCATTTCCCTCATTTCTCCTTTGCTACTTTAGCCATTATTCTAGAAGCTACTGTAAGCCCAACTCTGGACAAAGGGGGATGTTAAACTAATTACAAGTAGTAGGTTTTATAATGACTACTTCAAATAGGAACAGATCTAGAAACAGGTTTGGCCATGAGTTCATAGTTCTTTTAATTGGATGGTAAGGATGGGGGTCATTAAGAGCCTCTCTACTTCTCCAAACTTTAAACATTTTTCCATGTTATACCGTTTCTTATTAATTAAAAGATGTGATGTTTATCTGTAACTAATTGTGTTTCCAACACAGATACAATCATAACTATTTTACATTTAGATTAATTCACACTAGTTTGCTAACATGCATTTTATGTGACAATTTAACTTTGCCATTATCTGTTATACACACATACATGGTCACTCTTTCCTTACAACAAACATGGGTATGCATGTGTACATATAAAGACTGAAGTGAATATCACCCCAGGCTAAATTCTCAAATAGCTACATACTGATTAGTGTTGGTTTACAACAGCTACCATGATTAAAAATGTTAGCTAGTCATTGCCAATTAACTTAGGCGTTAGTTCAAGGATTACACCCTACTTAATTTTCTAATATTCTAATTTGGTCGGTTGTTGGATTGGCACAGGCTCACCTGAGAGAGATTGAAAGTAGCAACAGTGCTGTCGTCATACAGAAGAATGTTGATAGTGTCCAAAGCCCAAGTACTCTCAGCCAGCAGACCTGATTTAAGCGACATCATCACACGCCATGCCTCAGGAGTAACTAAAATGAGAAAGAACAAGGATATCTGTAGTATTAACTCTGTGTATGAAAGAATAGAAAATAACAAAAGAACAAGGAAAAAGGAATAGAAAAATCAATATTTAGATTGACTTTTAAATATTGACTTTTAAATAAATATTGATATTGATTTTTAAATAAATGCTCAGAGTCACATATGACCATCTTCTGACTGTAAATGGAGGCGACAGGTTGTACTAAGCAGCTTTTGTTGTGTAAGATCTTTTTGGTTCGCCAGTTAACCATCAGTCCCAGTGCTTCTAGATGTGGTGGGCATGGTTAAATACAAGCAGTCCTTCTCATCTCAGGTGCATTTCTGTTCTCCTTTTAAATAACTGTGCTAGCCTAAAAGAGGTCTCTACCGCCCCTGCCTTCTCCAGTCACAAGCTTCTCCAGATGACGTCTGATGCAGAAAACAAAAGCAAAACTTCCAAAGTAGCACATCCTCAGGCAAAGTCTTGCTTTTTGAAGGAAGTTTTCTCCTATTTCTGTGCTCTTGCCCTTAGAATATGTTGCTAAGTAAGTACCAGCACTTTTTTCTCTTTTTCTTTTTTTTGGCTTTTTTGAGATAGTTTCAATATGCAGTTTAGGTTGGTCTTAAACTCACTTTGTAGCCCAGGCTGGCCTCAAATTCAGAGCAATCCTCCTGCCTCAGCCTCTCAACTGCTGGGCTTACAGGCTTGTGCCACTATGCCCAGCCTAAGTACTAGCACTTTGACGGTTAGATTTTTCAAGAGCGTGGTCTGAACCAAGGACTGGGAAACAGGCTTTTTTGGGTTATTTTCCTTATTCCTGTTACCAAAGAAAACAAAATGATTAGATAAAAAGTTGCAAGATCTGCACACAATGAGGCTACAGAATGGACTCCCCACACATCTGAGTTTTCAGCAACAGTTGCTCAGAAGCAGGGGTGTGTAGTATGAGCACAGATGGTGCAGAGAATGTTCTCCAGCGGACTCTCATGGCCACTCTAGGTGCAGGAGAGCACTCTCTGGGTGCCTGTAAAAATCTGTCATGGGGGAAGGCCCTGTACAGTCCCTTCAGTATTTTAACTGCTTCTGTTTTTCAGGCTAAGATGGGCACATACTAATTTTCTAATGAAAAAAAAAAAAAAAAAAAAAAGGTTAAACTTTCTTTTTAAAATAAGCAGCATAAATTTCTCTAAGTTGAAGACAATCACTGATATAATAAGCACTAAAATATTTTTTAAAACTTTAATATTTACATATATAAACACAAATATAAATTGTATTTATATATTTTTTGTATAAAAATGGGGATGAATGTTTGCATTTCATTCTCTTCCCCTGCTACCCCAAGATATCAAAAATGCCCAGTATTTTCCCTCTACAGATGCGTATTTAATGTCCAGCAAATAAAAATATCTTTCATCTCACTAATTTAGTATCTTTAATTTTCCAATCACTACAAATTATTTTAAGTCAAGTGATTTTTTTTTTTTGTGGTACTGGGGATTGAAACCAGAGGTTTTGCATGCAACTATATCCTCACCCCTTTTAATATTTTAAAATGTAGAGATAGGGTTTTTGCTAAGTTACTAAACTCTCCAAGTTGGGTTCAATCTTGTGATTCTCCTGTGGATCAGCCCTCCTATGCGTTCCATAGTTTGATGGCCTTATTGGGAGGTGAAGGAGCTCAAGGGAGGGCATGTGGTTAAAGGGACAGGGTCGTGGATGTGTGACCTGAGGATTACAGCTAACTCTTTCCCTCTTCCTCTCTACTGCCTGGCTGCCGTAAGGTAGGCAGCTTCTTGGACTACGCCCTGCCCCATGCTGTTCTGCCTTACCTATGGCCCACAGCAAGGGAACCAACCAGCTGTGGGCTAAAACCTCTGAAACGGTGAGCCAAAACAAAGCTCTCTTTAAGTTGATTTTCTCATGGAATTTGTCACAGCAACAGAAAGTTGATTAACAAGCCTATTTATTTATATCTCATAGCCATGTATCTCTTTTTTTCCCATGAAAATTCACTGTACATTGTCATTAAGTCAGAGTGGCTTGCCTCCAAATTTTCCCACGCCACCCTTAGCTTTACAATGTATCTTTTTAGCACATATTGTAGAGATTAAGTGGCTTGGTTAAGGTCAAATCTTTAAAACCAAACACAGTACATAATCACTGAAGATTCCCTCATCACTCATTTCAAGCTCTAATCTCTCATACAAATAATTTTCACACCTAGCATTACCATTTTAATTCAAGCTCTTCTCTGGCACTGTTTCTTAATTTTGATTAAGAAACCAGTGGCTTCCAACTATGGCTCCTATTTAAAGAGCATCAGGATAATCTGCAATCGTATTAGAATATCGTCCTATTATAGATACTGATAGGAACTACACTAAAACTAAAATTAAAATACTAGATTGCAACTGGAACTCATTTCTAGGACAACAAACCTTTGGAATTCTTACCAATATCTTTTGAGGTAATCTTTCGCCTTTGTTTCAGGACTGGCTGTGATGCTTCCACTGAGCCAGGAGGAAAGGTAATCTCTCTTCTGATGGGGGGTGGTTGAGGGGGTGGCCCAGTGACCTGGGATGTGGGGACAGTGGGCATGACCTTCTGCATCTTCATGGTGGGCAGAAAGGGAGACTTGCTTGGAGACATGCGGTTCTCCAGGGAGCGCTGGAAGGAAGCTGGGCTGGGTGCCCTGGAGATATGGTTTGGCAGTGATGGTGGTGTCTGGTAGGATGACTGAGGTGGGCGTGTGATGGGCTGCATGGAAGCCGAGGACGACATGTAAGGCTGGCGTTGGCTGACATGAGAAGGCCACTGGCTCTCGTGATTTATCCTCTGATCAGGTACCATCATATCATCTGTGCGGCTCATGCCTGGATAAGGGGGTGCCTGTGCGGGGCCACCGGGGCCCTGCCTATTCTGGTAGGGATAAGGCATATCGTTGCGTGCTGCCCACATATTTTGCTGAGGCCCTTCACCGGAAGATGACTGCATTGGGCCCCCCATCATCTGAGGTGGGATTCCATGGGGCTGCATCTGGCCTGGGCCCTGCATCCTCTCCCTATTGTAGGGATATGGGTACTGTCCCTGCATGGGCCTTCGGTCCGGGCCAGAGTAAGAGCTTCCATACTGGTTATACATCTCTTGTTGCTGGTTGCCATACTGCATGTTGTACATGTCTCCCTCATGACGCTTGGCTGGAGGCCCATACATGCCATCCATATGGCGTTTGTAATTCTGAAATTCACATAAAGACAAATCAAACTGATGTGCTCTTACAGGTATAATCATACACACTCAAATTATGCAAAACAGTTATTACCTGGTGGAATGTTCATTTCAAAATGACTATAGGGAGCTCCTATATAACCAGGAGAACTAACCATTTAAGGACTATATCCCAGTATTATATTATGCCCTGCCACATGCTCTGAAGAGGGGTCTGGAGTGTTGCTTTCACTTGTTTGAAATTTTGTTTGGGAAAAATAAAGCGTCCTCTCCTTTGGCTACAGTATTGGAACAGCACAGTGCTAATGATTGCTGCACAGGCAGATACTCGACAGGGGCTTGGGGCTAAACTAAGATGACCCCTAAGGCAGAAGGATCAGCCTTACAGGAGTGCACTGAGGGTTCCAGGGCCAGTTTGAGTGGCTCCTAGGTTAAAAGGATATCTTAGGCCTTACTTACAAAGAGGCCTACCAGCAGGATTCAGCTCCTCAGGCTGGGCTGTGTCACCTGATGTCCATGCTATGGCTCCTATCTTGATGTCCAGCTTGTCTAGCCAGACTCTTCATGAAAGCCTTGCTGTTCCTACCACAGCAGCAGCAGTCATGCAGCTCTCCTCTAAGGGATTCTCTGGGAACTAGGGTTAGTCACAGTGGTGGGACTCTTATCATGGGAGTCAGTGAGATGCTCATATTTTAGTTTTCTTTCACTTTACTTGAAAACTGTTTAAGCTCACTAATTTATATATATATATATATGAATATATACGGTATATATATATGAATATATGTGATAAAGTAGTTATACTACTAATATCTCTTAGTTCATTGAAAAGATTGGTTTGTGCTAATATTGTTTGGACAATTAAATGCTGATATCTTGTACTCTGAGTAACTAATTTAAAGATAACAATATGCAGTGTATTAACCATTATTACTCTCCTATCATACTGTCTTAGAATTTTTTTCTTTAAAATAAAAATTAAAAAAAGATCAGTGGTTTAATAATACCACTTACTATACATATATGCTCCTGAAAAATTTAATAAATGTTTAAAAATTGTTTTTGTGATTTAAAAAAATCCTGAAACAAAATCCTCTTTATTTGTAAGAGGATTGAGATGTTTAGAAACAGCAAAGTCATGTATGTCTGAAAAGCTACAGCATAAAATACAATTTTTAGCATCAGTTTTGAGAGCTTGGGTTTTGTACAAGGTGGGGTTTTGTACAACAGTTTTGCAATGGTTACTGTTAACCAACAAGATCTAATTTACTCAAAATATGTAGTCATTAATACCTGTTCTTGGGGCTGGGGATTTAGCTCAGCGGCAAAAGCGCCTGCCTGGCAAGCGCAAGGTCGTGGGTTCGGTTCCCGGTACCGGAGAAAAACCAAAAAAAAAAAAAAACCTGTTCTTAAAAAAAGTCAACTTCTACTCTTGTATGTAACATTTTAAGTTGTTTTTTCTATATATTCTTTAAAATATGGGTGCTTTCCTTCTCTACAGTGGTTTTTAATACAAAAGTATACATTATCTGTGAGGGATGGGTTACAGGACTCCTGATACCAAATCTAAGGATGCTCAAGTCCCTATGTAAAATAGTATGGGCTTTACATGTAATACTCACATCCTCCCACATTCATTTTAGTGCATTTCTAGATTACTTATAAACCTATGCAGAGTAAATGAATACTATGTAAGTAGCTGTCATCTATACTGTTTAGGGAATTGTGACAAGGCAAAAAATATGTCTATATTTTGAACAGATGCAATTTTTTATGTGTGTGCCTTTTTGAGACAGGGTCTTGCTATGCAGTTCAGGCTGGCCTTGAGCTCACTTTGTAGCCCAGGCTGGCCTCAAACTTGCAACGATTCTCCTGCCTCAGCTCCCAAGTGCTGGGATTACAGGCATGCGCCACCATACCCAGCTCAAATGCAATATTTTTAAAGAAAATTTTCAAATATTTTAACTGTGGTTGGCTGAATCCATGGATGTGGAACCTGTGGATACAGAAGGCTGACTGTGTGTGACACACACGCTTACAATATACTTCACTTTAGCTTGGGCTTGCCATTCACAAGAATGCATGTGTTCAATTTCATACAACATGTTATATAAATTTCAGAATAATATATGCCAAGAACAGTTTTTAATTTGGTAACGTCAATATTCCATGAGTATTTTCTGGAACTAAACATAGCCTGAATGTTCAATAAATGTTAATCGGTTTTGTAATAATTCCTAAAATAAATCCTTCTTCAGAGATAGCACAAATTTGAGTTTAGCTTCTAGGAGAGGAACATACAACCCGGAGCCCCACACCCATGTACCCACTCACCGGCTGCTGTGGATACAGGCCAGGCTGGTGCGCTCCATACGGTGGCTGTCCTGCAGGAGGACCTTGGCCTGGATACTGCTGCCCATAAGGTTCATGCCTAGAACAAGGCATTCAAAGAAAACTTAATTCTCAGAGGATTCCAGGCACACAGGGACATGAACAATCCATTTCTGGAAACTCTACCCCAACGGCTTTGTCTTTTCTTCACCATATGTGGCTCCTTACAGGCACTCCCTGAGAGGCAGCTGCACTGGAACTCCTAGTGAGAGGGATGGGAACACCCTTTGGGAGTGGTGCCAAACTCCTGGGTCGGGCTGTTGGTTAATAGGTGTCAGAGGAATACCGGTTGAACAGGCAGGCACCCTGTGAGCACTTGTCTAAGCCTTTGGCCTCTGCCTTTGAGGCAAAAGCCCCACCTATTTCACTAAAGTTTACTGTACCAAGTGCCACACAACGCTGTCATGTGAGGCACTGATGAAAGCAAGACGCAAAGAGAATCTAGGACTCAAAAGCAGTACTTCTAGAAGTACCAGAACATGGAAAATATTTTTACTTTTTATATTCTCATTATGAATATAAAACATTTAAGTTTTTAAAGGTATATTTCAAAATTAATTCCAATGATGCCGAGTTAGCTAATAATTATATATACACAAGTATATCACAAGTTGCAAAGTTCTGTAACTGAAAAGGCTACAGAATAGGAGCAATGATTTAAGTATGCTCCTACAAAATTTTAACATACAAATGAATAATGTAAACTGGAAAAAAACAAAAGAAAAAAGCAAAGAAAAAGCCAGGCATGGTGGCACACACCCGTAATCCATGCCCTTGGGAGGGTAAGGCAGGAGGATTGCCTTGAGTTTGAGGCCCACCTGGGCTACATAGTAAGTTCAAGGCCAGCCTCAACTACATAATGAGATTCTGTCTCAAAAAAACCAAAATGAAACAAAAGGCAGAAAAAATGAACAATACAACTATTTTTTTCCACTGCTACTATATTGAGAAATTATAAATAGTATTAAAACTACCTTATTTTTGGGCTGGGGAAGTAGTTCAGTGGTAGAGCACCTGCCCAGTATGTGTGAGGCCCTGGTTTGATTCCAGCACTGTGTGCATGCACACATGCACACCCACAGGGAAGTATGTTTTCAAGGGCAACAGACTGGGAATTATGAAAGATAAACTGGTTAATTTAGCAATATGGAATCTTTTAAGAGAGAATAATTGGATTAAATGTATTCCTAATCTGACCAAGTAATAAGAAAGGAAATGAATTTTTAGAATATTATATATAAGACAGACACAGGGGAAATCTTTGCTAACTACCATGATTATTTAGAAGGAAGTTTATAGTTTGGAGGAAAGAAAGAAATACAGTATAATTGGCATGAAAAAATTTTAAGCTGAAGAAGTAACATTTCTCTGAAGACAAAACTTAATGAGGTAAATCTCTCTCTAATGTGGTAGAACCAAAATAGCTTTTAAACCTAGGCCATGCAGTGCTTCAGGAAGCATTCTAGAAGGGACAGAAAAATAGATTTAATTGAGATCCTTTAAGAATACATGTCCCCCCAAAAAAGAGGCAAGATATACTGTATAGAAGTACAAATTCCCTATGATGAATGCTATCACCATGTATATCTAAAATGCAGCAATAAAAAAATATACAAAATATACATATATACAAAACATACACACACACACACACACACACACTTATATATATATATATATATATACACACACACACACACACACACACACATACATCCCAATACAATCGTTTTTCTTTCTCAGGACCAGACAACAGCAAAAATTCAGTAGCTTTTCCTGGACCTTTAGAACCAAACCAAACACCCAGACCGTGGAGGTAGAGACCCAAAAGGCAGATGTGTCCCTGCCTGCACATCAGTGTGGCCATGGTAAAGAAAAGGGCACTTTGCTATGCCTCCATTTTCTTTCCTTTAAAAATCACAAATGTTATACCCAAACTTGCTTTGCGCATTTCCCTTAGTACGGTGGCAGAGAATACACCAATACAGGAAGGGCTACCGTGACAGTGAGTATTAAACTAAGGGCACAGATGAGGGGTCTCCTCACAAATGGAGTCCACCCCATGCCACCAGTGCAGGACGTGGTTTCTGTTGAATTCTCCACATCATCTCAATGATCCTCCCACCTCCTATCTATCTAGAACCAGTCTTGTTGGTCCTGTGGTTGTCCCATCACCTCCATGTCAAGATGGATTCCTTTGGCGAGGCTTTTGCAATTGCTTGGTGGGCCTTCTCAAAGATGCTTATGAAGAGTGAAGTGCACTCTCTTTTCAACAGGGAAGAATGGTGGCAACATTTAAAGATGCAGTCCCTGAAGTCCTTTCCAGGAGACTGAGAGGTGAGTGTGGCTACCACTACAAATATTCCCAAGGGATGCGGGGGAGGGAAGGATCTGTGCTGGAATACCCAGGAATCTGGTAGCTGCCAGAGGAGTCACAACTGTCTGCAGCTTAGTTACCTCATTGTGGTGACAGTGGCTGCCTCACACAGGGAAGTTAGTACTGGTTGCACTGGTGTGGGGTACTGTGGGGCAGATCTGGCTCTTATGTTCTTGGGGAGATGCCTCTCTAGCTGGGCCAGTCCTTGACACGTAATTTATATTCAGAGCACTAGCATGTAAAAACACATGCCGCTGGGTGTGGTGATGCACACCTGCAGTCCCAGCACTCTAGGAGGCTGAGGAAGGAGTATTGCAAGTTTGAGCTCAGGCTGGGCCACTTAGCAAGACCTGTATCAAAATAAAAAATGGCTGGGGCTATTGCTTGGTACAGAGGCTCTAGGTTCAATCCCTAGCACCACATAAAACAGAAGACAAACAACTGAAAAACACAGAACCATCTGGCTGCCTGGGAACAAGGGCCTTCTTCCTGGTCGTGCTGCAGTCACCCACTAAACAGCCTAACTCATCAGATCAGTAGCAATTCTCACAGGTAAGAACGCTGCGTTGCTGCCAGTGGTTCAACCGGCAGGGCTCAGAGATGTGTGTGTGAGGGAAGCATACTTTCTAGCGAATCATCTTACCTTTCTCTCAGAAAATACTCACCTTCGGTCATAACTGGCCCCATAAGGAAACTGCTGCCGCTGCCCCATGCCCAGATTGGACATTGCTCCTGAGGGACTTTGGTTATACATGTCCTGCATGCTGCTGTTGGGCATCTGTCCTTGGGTCATAAAGGGCTCATTACTTCCAGGCACTGCAATATTTGAAATAAAAGGCACAAATTTAAGTATTTTCAAAAGTCAAAGGTACTTTGACTACATTCCTCCTGATAATTTCGGTGTTCTCTGTCCTCAGCTGACCATAATGCCAATGAGAGATCATAAAGCTTGGAGTCAGATGGGTTGGATGAGCAGAATTCTAAGATGGCCCCAAAGACACCCTGCTTACCCCAGTACATATCTTGCATGAGTCCCTTTCCTTGAATGCGGGTGATGGGCTCTGTGGCCTTGTGATTATGGGATGTTATGTGGCAAGAGGGATTTCACAGTAATTAAAGTTACTAATTGGCTGACTTTGATTCAAGGAAATTCAGAGTACTGTATCAAGAGACCTCTTTCATCAGAGTTTACAACTGAGAGATGGGGCTACTTCCAGACCTTCCCCTATTATCCTTGAAGTGACAGCCATGCTATAGAGAGGGCTACAGCAGGAAAGGTGGGGGAGGACAGTCAACAAAAAATAGTCACTTCGACCTACAATTTACCAACAACCTTAACGAGTTTGAAGAGACTTGGAGCCTCAGAGGAACTCTTGGTCTTGGTCAAGACCTTGACTTTTCCATGTAGGCCCTGAGCAGAGGTTCTAGCCAGATGCTGGGAGATATATTCTATCTCTGTTGTCTCCAGCTGTTGAGTTTGTGAGCACCTGTTATGCAGCAATATGGAAACTCATACAGGCCTAAATCTATTTATTACCAATTAGACAAGTCACTAACTTTTAAGTTTACTTTTGTGTATAAAATGAGGTCAGTCATAGCATCTCATGAAGTGACTGTGACAAGACATGAGATTATGAATATAAAGTTAGTCCCTTTTCCTTATAGGAAAAAACTTGAACGCCTCAACATAAATAATCATTCATGGACATACTCCAAAATCTGGATAAAAAATTTTAAGAGTTAAGTATAGCTCAAGGTGGAATAAGATGGACCATTTCTAAAAGAGGATAGAGTGCTGATGAAGTTCTATCTGCAAATTAGCATCAGCTCAGAGCGCCTGAAGGAAAGTGGGTCAAGTCCAAAAACTAGCCCACAGGCAAATTAAACATTTTAATGTACAGTAAGTTGTTACTGATGCATGATACTATTACTTCTCTTCATTCTACATTATGTGAGGTAAGAGTGGATTAAAATTTTATGTCCTGATGAATTCTGTTAGGCTGGCAGTGAGGCAAATGCTGAAGCCTGACATGGTAACAGTGCCTGTCATTGGGCAGTGTGCTTCCACCCACTTTACCCTCTGACCTCATGGCAGCTTGTGGTAGAACCAGTTTGAAATTACTTTCCATTTTGTAGATATGAGAACAGACAGAAATCAAATGTCACAAGTTAAGTAGCTTAGTTCCCTAATTTATACAGTTCTTAAAAATCAATAGAAAAAAAGGACAACAAATTAAAAATAGGTGAACCCATTCACAGAAAAAGAACACTAAATGGCCACTCAGTGGAAAGGTATGTGAGCTTACTAATAAATCCTAGTTAAAACAATTATGAGGGCTTGTTTTTTCTTGGTCAATCTAATTGGCAAATATAAAATGGCTGCTAATACTCACTCCTTAGGAAGATAGTGAAAACTCACACACTTGTAGACACTCTTGTTAAGAGCATTAAGCCAGTAGAATATTTACCAGTACTTGCCATGGGACTCTGTCCTTCAAAATCCCAAAAAGCACATCTACTAGTATTCACAGGCTGTGAAGTACCTTTCCACAGTGACTCCGGGCAGGGTCATGTGACTATAGCTGACCAAAAGAGCTCTGGCAAATGTGAGCGGTGCAAAAGAGCTTGCAACTGGGGCACTATCCCCTCGGAAGCTTCTTAGGTCCCATCTGCAGTGTCATGGGCCCCCAAGAAGCTATGTGGAAAGGCCCTATGGGGGAGGTCTCCACTGAAAGTGCCAGCAGTCCCCAAGGGAAGCCTTTTATGACACTGGCCACTCTAGAGACACCCCAGCTCCAGCAGCAGTTTCAGTGTCCTGGCCAACAACACAGAGTGAAGTATTACGCAGTCCATCACAAACCCTTGAGACAGAGTTAAATATTGCTGTTTAGAGCTTCTAAATTTTGAGGTAGTTTGTTTTACTAGATAACTGAGATAGTACAAAGGAAAAATATTTCCTATCACTTGACTGAACAATCCCATTTCTAGGAATCTATTTCATAGCAGGGGCTCCTAGTGTCACTTCAACAATCCCTGCATTTGTGTTTTGAACAACAAAATATTGGGAAACAACCCACCCAGTACTAGAGCATTAGGATGTGGGCATTCAATTAAAAACAATGTTTTGCCTAGCACCTATTAGATCAACGTGTACACATATTAACAGATATGAAAATATATTGTTTAATTAAATGATACACACAATATTATGTTCACTTATATACCATCCACCAGCAGTACTGCAGTGAGGTAAAGAAATGAGCAGGGTGCCACAGGCAGGTGAACAGGCAGGGTCGGCTCCTGACTGTCATGTTCATTATGCTACCACAGCACAGGCCAGTGACACCCACACCAGCCACCTCCTCAGTGGCAGCAACAACGAAGAGCTGGTTTCCACTGATGGCCTAATCAGAGCACTGTCGAGTTCACTACAGAATAAGGCAAGCTAACCAGTGGAAAGCTTTAACACAACAGGGTTTGGGGTGTAAGAAAATCTGTTTCAATTTGGTAGTAAATACACTAATACTGTAAGGTAGCAGGTAAACTGGAATATATTAGGGATGGTATTAAGTCATCTTATCACTTACATGATTGATGAAAACAAATTATATATTCATGGGGTGCCTAGTAAGGTAACCCCACCATCACCTCCCACCCCCAAATTCATTTTTATAAGAACAATTATAGGCACAGAGAAATGTAAGTTTGACTGTCTTCCATAGCATAGAGGCAGGATACTGAAACAGCTCACAATAGATTTTGAGACCAGATTCTAAATATTACTAGTTATTTTTTCTGTTTGTTATTACAACATTTTCAGTCTAAAAATGGGATATAGAAACAAAAAGCACTAATAAAATGTTCTGCCTTGCATCTAGTACTACTAAGGAAAATAGCTACCTCTAACATATGCAAAGTGTTTGACTTTCTGAGCTCATATATTTATTGCATATTCTGCAAAATCTTTGCTTAGAATAAATAGTCCTGAAGCCCTTGAAAGCCAAGAAACTATAAATTACCTTGCTTTATATAACCGTTATCTGAATTATATACAAAATAATCATAAATCTCAGTTGTTTAGTGGTGTATGCCCAATATTAAAATTTTTGAGATGCTTCATTTTCATTTCTCATTAGTCCATATTTATGAAAGCTAAGGCTTTGGACTTTATGCTTGTCTTTACTCAGATAAGATAACAAGAAATTTATGCATCCAAATATCCAAGTACCACACAGGTATCATTATTTAAGGGATCTGAGAATAAGCACACTCATAAAATTATTATTCACAACTTTTTCTGTATTTTTTTTCAGTAATATTCACATCACACCTCAATTTCACAGGACTCAACTGCATTTGGAAGGATGCCAAAAAAGCAGACTACCAGGGTTCCAACTGGAGCTGATCTGCTAAGAGGGGAGCTAACAGGGCAATGGCTCAGCCACAATCTCATAGAAGATTCAGCCTTAGCAAACATAACGGAATAGCTTCCCCTGCTGTGTCCTAATGTCACCAGAAACTCTCCTCCACTTTCTTCTTCAATGAGCTCATTAATCCCACAGTGGCAGGCACTGTTTCTATGTTCAGTGGTCCACAATCACACCTAATTCCAACCTCTGCCCAGCTTCCAGACATGCAGGGCACCACTCAGCAACTTCATTCCCTCTCGATCCTGCTCCTTCTCCAGCTGTCCTCATTGTAACCAGATATGTCTTTCCATCACCATCACTGAGCTCTGCAGCACCAATGTCCAATCCACTGGTACCTCTAAAACATGTAACAGTGGTTCTTTCTGCACTGCTGGTCTCTCTGTTATCTCTCTCCCTAACCTACTGCATCCCCTCCATCCACCCTCACCTCTTTCAATGCATGCTCCATAGTGGTCAGTTATTTACTTATTTTCACAGAAATCAAGTCATTACATTCTCCACATAACATCTCTCGCCTGGTAAAAAACAAAACGAAACAAAACAAACAAACCCAAACTCATTAATTTGCCATAAAGGACGAAAGACTCTGGCCCCAAATGCCTAGTACCCTCAGCCTGCGTGCCCCATGTTCACTATACTCCAGGAACTTGTTCTCTCCTGCCAGGGCTCCTGCTCTCTTTGATTTTCCTCATCCTCACTCTTTAGGTCACAGTAGATAACTTTCACCTTCTCAGAACCCTCCCCTCCGACTAGCTGACCTCCTAGATTCCCAGCCTCTCACTGTCACACTGAGCATCACTGCTACCTGTATCCGTTTTTACTTTTCTTCTACAGACCATGATCTTTAATTACACATTTGCAGTTAAGTTATATTTGGACATGTTTTATTTCTCCCCAAGATGCTGCTAGTTGAAAATAGAGACTACTTGTGATTTACCTCTATGTTACCTAGCATGCAGCACTGTCCTGGCTCACACTGACACAACAACAATGCTGGTGATGCATAAATGCATGGTGATGCATGCTTTCACGTGGCTGCTCACCACTCTTCCTCAGTCCGCATGTACATGGGTTTAACTAATCCTCACAACACCTTTGAAGCAAGCCTTGTTATTTATCCAATTTCTGGGTGAGGAAAGTAAGGCACAGAGATGCTAAGTACTTTTTCCAAGGGCACAGACTTAGGGTAGCAGTGTGGAAGCTGTTGAACCCCAAGATACTCTGAAGAATAGGTGCAATGGTTATAGAGCAGCAGAGAGGTGACATCCCTTGACTATACCTTTTCTCATTCCACCAAAGGGGTCCTTGTTGGGTTCATAGGGCATCCTGCCCATCATGTCTGGCATGCTCATGCCCTGTTGGTATGGGGCATTTGGAGTCATGGAATTCCTTTTTGGGAATGATGAATCACTCACATCTGAGAATGGGTCATGCACACTGATTGTACTGCTTCTGAAGAGATAAAAAATGAAAGCTTAATGATATTACAGGAGTTACCTCTAAAAATACTAGAAAATAAACCAATCTTGAAATTTATAAATGTAAAAGCCATCCAAAATAAAGTACATGAGTAAAACTACTACTGATTCATATTTTAAAATTCACTGGAAAAATCATTTTTGTTTTCTATGAAGTCTGCTCCAGAAAAATCAAAAGACAAAACAAATCTGATTTTGTATGGCTCATTGTGTTCTCCGAACATACCTTCCACCTTGCATTGGGGCAATCTGTCCATGAGGGGTGGAAGCTGGCGTAGGTGGCTTCAGGTCACCAGGAACCTCTGCCATAGAGTTGCTGCCTGTTGACTGTGGCGTCTGTGGGCCTTGCAAGGATCCTGAGTTAGCTGAAATGGTCAAGGGAAACGGGGAGAGAGAGAAACCAGAGGTTATTAAGGAAGCCCATTCTTATATATGTAAAAGCAAGAATTTAAAATAAGGGCCCATCTACTAGAAATACTAACCTCTACTGTGGATAATAATGTACTAAAATACTGTTACGCTTTTTATGGTGAAAATTAGTATGAGTTTTTTTGAGTGTGTGTATGGGTGCAGCATTGAACTTAGGACCTCACACATGCTAGGCAAGTGCTCCATTACTGAATCTCAGCCCTTAGTAAGTTTTTTGGGTAAAATATTTGGAAGTACACTTCATTTGTAAGCCATAACACACATTTAAATCTTTTGATAGGATAATTGTTTTTCTGGGTATTTATCCCAAGAAAGTAATGTAATAAAAAGAAGGTATTATTAGGCATTAAAATCTTTATTTCAGTGTTGTTTACACTGGAGATATTCAATGTAAATTAAGGGGATGAAATTTTTGGTACCTCAATTAATGGACTATTATGCCGTTTTAGAAATAAATTAGCTTCTAGTCTTGGGCAATGAGAAATGTGTAGTTGACAAGCAGTAATACAAATTAAAACTGTGCTTTATGTTATTTTAATACCACCCAAAACCTGGATATCTATTGTCTATTCTGTCTCTCTCCCTCTCCCCTCCTTTCTGCGCCACCCCCCGCCCCAACTGCAGTACTGGGGATTTATCCTAGCTTCTTGTGCATGCTAGGGAAACACTCTCCCACTGACCTACATCCACAGCCTTAACATGCTTTTTTTTTGAGCTATGAAATCAGATTTATTATTAAAAGACACAAGTCATACTGGGTTTGAGATTTTAATGTTGCTGTTGGGTTCTGAGATTTTTGCTTTAACTATAATTACATTAAAATAACACAGATCAGAATTGAGCAGTTTGTACAAGACTCAAGCAGGACAACCGAAAAATTAACTTTGCAAAACAATGTATTCTGTGGTCTCCTAACATAGTCCTTAACACGCTAGTTGTGCAAAACTTACTTGCTTGGTTTATTGATTAAGCAAATACCTACTGAATGAATAATGGGCCTACTGTATTTCAGGTTCCTTTGTAATACCTGGACATGCAAGTCCTACAAACTAACAAGGTGAGAGTCCCTGCCCTCATGGAGAACACAATCAACACATTTAGAACTGTAACCAACATAGAATTACTACTAATGAAAAAAACAACATTTCCACATTACTGGTTATACTTCCTTTCCTCTGAAGTGCCCAAGCCTCACTAAATTACCACTATTCACATTTTACCTCAGAGGAAATGGAGGCTAAACAAGTCCTATGTTACAGAGTAAACTATGGAGTTAGAAATAGAAATGAATATCACATCTACTTAGAAAGTCTCAGCCAGGTACAGACACTTCAGACATTTCTAGCCAGATCAGGGCTGTTGGTTTCTGGTCCGATATGTGACACTGTCCTGTGTGCAAATTCTTAGACACGTGGGAAAGACCATCCACTAATGCAGGTATTTAAGAACTAATGCCGGCTTACATACCAAACTTCGGTGAAATCTCAAAAATGCATATTAAAAAGTAGACTATAATAAAAGAATAAAGTGGTCTGTTATACATTTGTAAGGGTAATGCAGACACAGTGCTGCAGATGAGAAACTATCTGCTTCTTAAATCAGGCACAGACTCCACACCAGCCTGGACAGCTTCCCTGGAAACATGCCTTATGAGACTGATTTCAGAATAAGTATTATTTACAAGTATTCACATTTACAGCTAATAAAAAGAAAGAAAAAATTCTTTTTTCTTGCCAGTGTTTTTCTTTTCCTTTCAGGGCAAAAAAAAAAAAAAAAAAAAAAAAAATGAATGCAACTTCTTGCAACTCCATTAATAGAGGCTGGTACTGCTCTCTAGGACATCCCTACCTTTTGCCAGAAGCTACAAATGTATACTCTAAAGTAAACAATGGAAAGGTTACTTAAGGTTAAGCACATTCACACACTGCAGACAGAACAGCCAGACTCCTACAGCCAGAACGTAATTTACACTGCATGAACCTGATGCCCTAGTTCTGGTGGGTAGAGGTGTAGGGGTGTGGGGAGAAGGTTGGGGGGAACAGCTGATGTGTCCCAGCTCTTCTGACTAGAGGTCAACCAGAGGGCACCTTTGTTTATATCCGACCCTCTTTCTCATTTATCTTCCACTGAGGATTCCCTAGTTGGATTCATGACAGTTTTTGTGACATCATCCGTCAGCTAATAATAGAAATTCAGTCAGCCACCTGCCAGTAAAGATGGATAGGTTTTTGGTTACAGACTTACTAATTGAAAGTGCAGCTTCCTTGTCCCTCCCTGCCTGACTCCTCCCAGGTGGCCTTTGAACTCCCTCCTCCCCACAGCCTGTAGGGCCACCTGGGGTGGTGATGCCTGGATTGGAACTCCTCCACAACTCCTACAGGTTCAGTGTGAGGAGATCTCACAGGTGCTTTAGAGAGGTAGCTCCTACCCCAAGGCCTAGATTCCTTTTGATGCACCTGGAGGTCCAGTGTGCCTCTCCAATGTGGCCCCAAAGGTATGTCATGTCTCCAGTGATCAACCATATTGAAGTCTGGATCCATAAGAGCTGCATCAAATCAAAACCAGACCAGAGATCCATGACTTGTGGTGCTCTGAGAATATAGGCACATGATTTAGGATTTCAATTGGTTCAGAAACCATTAGGAAAAAATTAGGACTGTTTCTTATGAATCTTTTTAGTTTGCCTGAATGTGTTAGTAAGGAATAAACTATAATTTATATTCTTAGGGTAAAAATGACTTCTAAAAACACTTACTTTTGATGAAAATTAGATTTTAAAGATTATATAATAAATGAGATCCTGACATGGAAAACAGAATAATTTATTTTCCTTCTTTGACAATAAAAATATTTCAGAGACACTTTCCTCAATGATGGTCCAAAAATGAGAGATGCTACCTGATGTGGGTATGGGTAAAAGGTCTGGGTCTGGACTGTAGGGACTTTGATGTTTACTTTCCGCTCTCTGGTCTCGGTGAGGTCTGGAGCACTCTGTAGGGGGCTCTCCAGGTTAGGCACTGACTTCGCGGTTAAGACCAGGAGATTTGCTCCTACTGCCTCCTATGTTACAGGAGAGACCCCGGCTCCATCCGCACCAAGAAGTGCATGTGCAATCCAGTCTCTTCTGTGCCATTAAAATGATAATCCTGCTGTAAAGGCAGCAGTTTAGAAAAGGGGAAAGGAAAGCATCAGCTATTAGGAGAACAAGGCCTCTGCCTTCTGGAGGATCTGTGCCTCGGCAGGGCTTCCTGTACTAGGGCTGAGACACGCTGTGAGAGCTATTCTCCCTGCACAACTGCAGACCATTCAGGGACACAAGTTCTTTCCTGGCAAATAAAATACACGCTTAGATCTTTGCAGACATCACCACTTTTGTCCCTACACCCCACTGGGTTTTTATTTTGGAAAAATAGTTTCAGAGCTGTTCACAGGCAGCTTCTTTCATTCTGTGAACTGAATATAATGTGTGATTTAAAAAATTCTATTTCTCAGTTTTTCAGGTACACCCTAAGTGGCAAAGACTCAGAATCCTGATGGGTGGGGTTAGTCTGGAGGATTTCTCTCTACTGGGAATTTATAGATCTAAAGTTAGGTGTATTCACTGCAAGTGCACTTTGGGCATAAATATATTTACATGAGCCGCTCTGATTGGCAAGGGCAGTTTGTTAACTGAGACAACAGCTAGAGGAAACCATTAAAAGGGAAATGACTTTGTTTTCTGGCTTCTAGGCATAAACACTTGATTTGTCATAAAAGCATTTCGATACAGGACCAGTGGCCAAATACACACAGAGAATGGAGAAATTTACCTGCATTAACTCACCATGGCAAACTAAGGACGACACCAATTTATTCCTGCCACTAATATCACAATTTTCAGGGTATATGACTTGGTAATTTCTAATTTGGAATCCTAATAGAAAGAACAAAGGCCAGCGGGAGAGCCATAAGGAACGACAGATCTCCCAACAGCAAGGCAGAGAGGCAGGGAGACACAGGCAGCAGTATCTGCGCCTGTGGGCATGGAGGTGTGACCTGTATGCCCTGTTCTGGCTCTGGCCTGGGCCACAGCTGATGGGAATTTCAGAAACAGGCCATAGGGGTCTTTACCATGGCAGCTCATAAATTCCCTCAGTGAGAACTTGCTGGGCAGGGGACACAGAAAACTAAGTCCAAATTTTGTTTTGCTACAGTATATATCTAAGTGCTATGGGCTGAGGCAGAGCTGGTACAACCTACTTCTTAGGCCTACAGGACGGCACTGTGCAGTTAGACGGAACACTCAAAAATTCTTGTAGAGAAATACAGGCATATAGCTCAGAATCCAAAGTCTAATTTGATTAAATAAGGTAAAGCAGAAAAACAGTGCTTTCAAAGTGCTGACTGCAAATGGCAATATCCCAAATTTATTGTTTCTTCCTTAAAGCACTGCCAAGGTGGAATCTTAGTGTTGTTTTAATTTGCATTTCTCGAATGACTAATTGGATAAGAAAATTATGGTACTTTTATATAATGGAATATTACTCAGCTGTAAAGAAAGATAAACTCGAGGCCTTTATATTTAAATGGTCACAACTAGAGACCATACTCATAAGTGAAATAAATCAAACATACATGTGCAAGCACCGCATTGTGTCACTAGTGTAAAACTTGAAAGAGTTAATTTAAACTCGGAGGTATGATAGACACTGTGAAATGATAGGAAACCACCGAAGAGTAAAGGGCTTCTGGGATGTGGGAAAAGAGAAGGGAAAGAAGGAGAAATTTTGTATGTACGTATATACAGGATAGATAACATGGTTGTTCTTCTATCTGCTGTTTCTATGCTGAAAGAAACTGTCAATGAGTCTTTGGTTGACCAGTATTGCATGTCTATATCTGTTTTCATGAGAAGCCACTTTGAAGATATCAATATGTAATACAACCACCATTGTTAATTCCCTACCACTTTGTTTGGAACTCTGTATTGTCTGTATTGTGCTTGTGATATGTTGTAAAATGTTGTATGTCTGTTAATGTTTCCCTCCTTTTATCCTTAAAATAAAAAAAAAAAAAAAAAAAGCACTGCCAAGGGGAGGAGGTCCAATCAAATAACAAAATGAGACCCTACTTGCCCCGGAAAATCCAAAGTCCTCTCTCAGCTTTACTTCTCTGCCCTCCCTGCATGGCTGTCCAGCCTCCAGCTCCTGCCATGTGCTGCCACTGGCTTTCCTTGGCCCAGCTGTAGCACTGCCACTTACCAGGAGATGGCGGCTGAAGCTTGGGCTGCTTCTTTGTGTCCCCTGTGCTGAAGACTTCTGGTGGGGGCTCCTCCCCTCTCTCAATCTTGCACTCAAAGGCAAAAAGGTACTGAATATACTGCTTTTTCAGGGAGCTTGCTGCGCTGCTTGAAGTGCCAACATTTAGGTTGGTTGCCAGCTCACGCCACTTCTTGTTTTTATTAACCTAGAAAAGAAAAAAAAGGCAGGATCATTGGTTTGCAGCAAAGTGGCTTGTTTAAAGCCAAGAGACAAAAAAGCACTTAATGTCTTGGTTTACTTTTTTTCATTTGCCTCTTTTAACTAATGTTCATTATTCCCACTCAGTAGTGCACAGACAGCATTCACAGTTATAAAGTCATTAAGGAACCTGCTGATCACTACAGAAAGGCACACTTGCCAGTCTTCCGCTGGCTGCATCTCCGAGAGCCTCACACAGGCTCTTCCTGAGCTGCTCCTCGCGCAAATGGACATGCCCACTCACACTCACTCATATCCCACCGCTAATTAAGAAGAGTGCCTAAAAACTAATTTAAAGAGCAACGACAGCACTGTTTTGCAGTTCAAATGTTTGAACATTGATACAAAAATAATGCTTCCTCCCACCAGCTCCCAGGTGGCCCATGACACTGGCTTTGTCCCTCTCTGTCCCTCACTGAGCAGTGGCTGTGAAACTATGGCACGTGTGCTGAGGCAGCCTGTGTCGCTGAAAGCTCTGAAAGGTCTGCCATCATTGCTCTAGAGGCTTCTTGTGGCACAGGGAAAGGCAGATGAGACTTCTTCACCAAATGTTGCCAACTTCAAATCCCAACACAGTGCTATCACTCCCCATGGGGGCTGTTTCTCCAGTAGTCAGCAACTATGGCAGGGACACATCTTTATTTTGTGTATGCTGTGCAAGACTATCTAGTGTCTGATTCCACTCAGGCTGGGGATAGCACCATTGAAGGGGAGAGGAAGTAAAGAGGTGAGAAGGGTCCAGAAGTGTTACATAGATATTTGGGACACTATTTCAGCCTTTTCATTCCTTCCTGGGGACAGGTTACAAAAGGTTAAACATATGAATGAAACAAGAAGACTGGCAAATAACTTGGGAAAGGCTGTGCCTTTTGATGTCTGCTCTGTTGCATAACAAGGTAATGGTTAAAGGGACAGTGACTTTTGATGAAATATTTACTTTCTGGATTCAAACTTTCTCATAAAGTTCTTTAACTTCATTTACTTAGACTAAATGGAACATAATACACAAATCATGGAATGCTCAGGGACACATCTCTCTTGGCTCTTAATACAAAGCTGCAAAGAGTATGCCTAGGACTTTCTTAGAAACTGTAAACATGCTGCTTGGGACACCCTGAGAAGAAAGGCTTTGAGCGCATCTGTGTATGGGTGCAGCAATCTGCTCTGAAGTGTATTGAATGCCCCTTCAGTAGAAAGTGAAATAGGATGTGGGATACTGCCTCCCATGTTCTCCACCTACATGCAAGCCAACCAGATTTTTATGTGCAGACTTGATAATATACATTGCTGGGGCAGTCAAGTAAGGTAGCCAGTAAACAGCTACATTACACTGGCCTGATGAATGACATCTAACTGTGTCATACTCTTGTTGATTTTTAAGTCTCTGTCACAAGAGTAGGTGCAGGGGAGTCCAAGGGCAGAGTGAGGAGGTGGGAGGTTCAGGTGTGGGTCAAGAATTATGCCTGGGTCACACCCTCTGCTGATGACCACACACATGAGGTCTGCATCACAAAATTTCACATCTGATAAGGCTGGGCCCTAAAGCTAGCTCAAGATATAGGCCTCAGTTCTCCCATGGGATGGTTAGTATCTACATGAAGGGCTCAAAATTCCTCCTGTAAGCCCCAGAAGAGCAGTATTGAGATACAGGAGGCCTCCAGTGACACTCCAGTGAGAACTCATCCCTGACTAGTAAGTGACTTCTGTAACCTTGGTGGGGTATTAGTTCTGCCTATTACTAGGGACACAGGCTGCTTTAATATGGGTGTGGAGTCAGGTGGACAGCTTTAAAAAGTTGTCCAGGTGATTTTTAGACAACTAGTATGGAGAACTACTGGGAGATGGGAAAAGTGTATGTTTTGGACTCAGAAAGACCTGGTCCAGGTCCAGAAAGACCTGGACCATACCACATGAATGTCCTTAGGCCATTACATTATTGTACTTTATCCAGAGTCTCCTTATCTATTTTCTGCAGGTATAAAACAGTAAAGACCACAGTAAGATACCAGTGCAGTGATGGTCCCATCTGTTTCTATGACAAGACACATCCATACCAACTAGACTCCTTACTGAAAAATGGTGGGTTAGGGTGAGCAAAGTGGCATGCCTAGGGCACGAGATTTTGGGGGTACTCACTGTGGGCTATGCAATTACCAGTAGGCATGTGCATAACCCATGATGAGCATCTCCCTCAATTCTGCATGTGGGTGCCTCCCCTGCCACTCTGACTCCAGGCCTAGTCTTGCTGAAAAGCAGAGCAATGGCCTTCTCGCTGCCAAAGGATTGTGGATATGGCTTTATTAGTGTGATTTAACTTCTTTAGTAAGTTGTTCTGGATAGAAGGAAATAGTGAATTTGATTTACATATGATCCAGGTAATTAATTCATTCACTTGCAAAATATTTCTGCTTTCTACAAACTCATAGCAGATTCCAGAGATTTCTAGAGCTGCCAGAGAACCTAAAGAAAAATCTAGTGTAACTGTCTGATTTTTCAGATAAAGAAACTGGGGTCCAAACAAATGACTTGGTGTGTGAACATTGGAGTTGGTGGCAGAGCCAGGGACCCCAACTCTTTCCTCTTCCAGCACATATATACAGGTCTGAGGTTACTTTCCACAGGCTTTGCTTTTCCTTTGTGAGAAAAAACTGATTCCACATATTACAAAACAAAACAAAACAAAACAAAACAAAACAAAACAAAACAAAACACTTCCTGTCAGGGCCTATCTGTAGTGCCACCTTCTTCATTCGCCCGTTCTTACCTGTGCCAAACCTCCAATCTCTTTGACGCAAACATACAGTCGGAACAGGTCCAGGGGCTTTTTGCCCACTGCGGGCAGACTGGACACAGGGGAGCCCCTCTCTTCCATGAAAGTCAGGTAGCGGTCGACCCACAGCTTCCTCTCTGGCTCATTCCCCAGCTCATACACCTTTGTGATCTTCTCCCCTGTGGTGGTGGATGAGCTGGACTTCTGGTGCCAGAAGGAGCATGTGGTGATGCGGGATGGAGGGCGGGGGGAAGGGAAGAAGGTGAGAAAAAGGCAATGAGCTAACAAATACAAGAAGAAGATTATCAAACTATTGCTATCACACAACAATTAGGAATGAAGGCTACTAGTTCAGGCACAAATTATACATTTTCTTAATTAAGAATTTACTTCTGACTTTTAAATAAAAGGGCCCAAACTCCCCCTTTGAGACATTTAAAAAAACTAAACCAAAATAAACAAAATCTTTTTAACTTTGATAAGCATTGAATCCCAGAAGGCAAGATTTCAATAAAGTCTTGTGTAATTTTAACAAATAAAATAGTGCTAACTCAGAGAATGGTCAAAGTGAATTAAAAATTTCACATGTAATATCACAGAGCTCTCAAACTGAATGCACTCCTAATTTTTCTTATCAAAATTAGAATAGCTAATGTGTGTCTTCATGAAAACCTTAAATTATGGGGAGGAGCAAATATACAGTCCTTGTTGAAAAATATAAGGTGGGCTGCAAGGCAGAGCAACCATAGTATGGCTCCAAGCTTACTGGAGAGCTTTACATATAAATGGCTGGCCAAAGCTTTGGCACTTTATAACTAGCTTTCATTACTCATAATTTCCTACACTTCTCTATCAACGTAAGGTATTGCTAGATAATTATTACAATAGATTTCTTAACATATTACTTTGGAATCTATGCTTAAATTATTTATTGACCACATCCTCAGTACATCTATGGATAAAGACATTTCTTTTTATGCACATGTGTTGATGCGCTCCTGTGGCTCATACAGATACTCTAATTCTTGGTCTTTTATATACCTGATTATATTTGATACTAAAATATCACCTGGAGTCAACCCTCTGGATTATATCATCTCCACAGGTAACACAGCCCTAAATAGTCCAACTATATTTCTTTCCCATCTTTTATATCTCTATTCATGTTATAATATGTATATATTTGTAGCATTTGCAATACCAAGGTTACTGTGCAAAATCACTGCAAAATTCTCAATAAAGATTTCCCTGGGCCAGGGATACAGGTCAACATCATAAGCATTTGCCTGGCAAGCACAAGGTCCTGAGTTCAATTCCTGGTACCAAAAAAAAAAAAAAAAAATCCCCTGAAAGAAGAATTTATTTCATTTATTTACTAGGCTATCATTGGCAATACAGAGCCATTATTTTAAGTGGAGGTCTTAAATTTTCCCTTCTCTTCTTCTTAACTTAGCATGGCATAGTTTAAAACATACTTTTCAAATTCAGGAGGTTCAGTAACATGATAGCCATTGAGGTTAGACATTACCTTGTCTCTCAAAGTGATCCCTAGTAAAAGTCGGGCTCTAAGAAAGGACACCTAAAGATACAGATCTCAGAGCTGGTGGAGTAGACACTTTCTCTCTAATATGCCATGCTCCAAAGCCATTTTAGTTGAATACTAAGCCTTCAGCTTTAAAATCACTAAGGCATAAAATCTATACATAAAAGACAAAAAAATGTGTAATATAGTTGGTATAAATAAAAGATGAAAAAAATGTGTAATACAGTTGGTATAAATAAAAAATGAGGAATGTTAAAAAATAGTATAGTCTTTTAGAACTAACTTTGGCATTAAGGTTAAGCTTCAAGTCACATAGAAATCACTTTAGATAAAAATGTAAAAAAATATATAAATATTTATAGCTGTGTTTATACAAAATATATACCTTCAGAATATGTAAAAATATATCCAAATGATAAGTATTATATATCCAAGCGATAAGCCTTTAAAACTCATTTTTCACACTTTTATAACTAAGGATTATTTGACTAGAAAAGGAAAGTGAACATCTACACCACATTCCTATATTGTAACACTGTATCTTTAACAAGATGGCTATTATCAGGTAAATGTCACTATTGAACTATTTTTATTTTGGGGAGTTACACTAAAAATAGTGGAACACATTTCTCAAATATGGAAATTTGAAATAGGAACATGAGGGAAAAACATTATCTCCAACAATTAGTGAAACAAAAACATCTTTCATTTTACTTGTGAATAACTCAGAGGGAAAGTTTAAGATTCAATTTAAGGATAAGAGGAATAAAAACAATCATTTCAATTTTAAATTCCTCCAACTAGCTCTTCTAATATACTGGATGTAAGATCCATCTGTCATTTCTGGCCTGATCCTCTCTATAGTGAAACTGGGGAATGATTCCGGATGAATAGTTAATCATGAACAGAGGAACAGGGTGAAGAAATGTTTGCTCCTGCTTTTGAAAGGAGAAAATTCTTACAACTGAAATAGGCCTAAGATAATTATTTACTTGCCCTATCTATCTATAGTTTAACTTCTCTCATCTTTATTAACTAGTGCTATCTCAATTCTCCTAAAATTAGAAAAATAAAATGAAGACAATAGTTTTTAACAGTTTTCCACTGAACAATTTTAAGATCTTCCATGAAGCATTTTTTTATGACACTGTAATGTAGGAAAATGCCTATGCCTATAATGGAAGTGGTCACGCTTCTGTGCAAGCCCTGCAAAGTCCTGGCCCAAGTCCTATGCCACCATCTCACTTTTCTTCCCTTTGCAGCACTTTATTATGCAGTGAGTACAACTATGTTTTGTATGCTGTTATTTGTCTGATACTAGACTTGAAGTTCCTCCTAGTTTAGAACTGTTCACACTTAGCAGCACAGTGTTCTGCAACGATGGCCCTCCATAGGTATTTGTTCTACCAATGCCCAAATAGGTGAAAGAGCACTGACATGTCTGACAGCATTCAATAAGAACCAACAGCTGGTTCAAAAATCCTATATGCAGTATGTCAAAAAGCAAGGTGTGATGTGAATGTGGAGGCAACGTAAGACTACAGGATGAGAAAGGCTCTGCTCACTGTTAGCACCTGACACCTTTACTCCCAGGCCCAAGGTCTGCTCATGAGCCAAATTACTACAGGTCAGGACTGAGGTGTCTGAACAGAGGAAAAGAACATGAAGAAAAACAAGAGGCTCTTGCATGTACATTAACAATCTCTTCACGGACTGGGCTCAACTCATTCCTGACTTGTGCCTAGACAGCAGCCAGGAAGGATCAACCAGATGAAAAGTCTTTACCCACCGAAAAACAGGCAAGCAAATTAACCCTTAGAAAGACTTTTCTGGGCAACTAAGAACCATCCAGACATCTCTGGGTAACTTTTCTGGGTGACTAAGGACTACCTAGTGCTGCTTCAGTGTTGTAAAAATTGTGTCCTACTGTTCTGAAACTTACGGAGGCAGGAAAGGAATGGAAAATGCTGAAAAATTTCAGCAAGACAGTCTTATGGAGCCACAAATGTTTTCCCTGTATATATTTTAATTAAGCCAAAAAGTAAATTTTCTCAAGCCTTTCAGGCAGATTTACATTTTGCAGTCTTTACCATATGCTTGGTTTTATATATATATATATATATATATATATATATATATTCATGCATGAGTATGTGTATGGACAAACGTTTATTTTTATTTTAGAATGTTTTGTAACAAAACAATACTGGTCTATAGCACCCTGTCAAAGCAACAGCAGCTTTTTTATTTTCTTCATTTCAGGCCTGCTGTTAGAAAGGCTTTATTAAAGACACTATTAAGAGCAATTTTGAGCACAAATTGCAGGGGTACCTCAGAAACAACAAGTACATCCGAATTGCATGTATTTGCGGTGATCTGATAGCAGAGATGATATTAAGTCCTTCATTACACTCTCCTTTTGTCCTTTTCCTGAATTATCATCTCATTAAAAAAAAAGTACCATTTTCACAACATATAACAAGAGTTTAACATCTCCTACTTTGGCAAACTCAGCTTCTCTCGTCCTTATCTAACACTACAGTCATAAGTTTGCTTGTAAATTCTCAAATAAAAAACAATGATGGTACAGGAAGAGATGATGTATGCAGAAATACTTTAAAAATTCATGCGCAATTTCAAGCATAATTGTATTGTAATCATAAAATGCAGGCAACAACTTGGTTTGCTTTTTTTTTTTTTTTTTTGGTTTTTCTCTGGTACCGGGAACTGAACTCATGACCTTGCGCATGCCAGGCAGGCGCTTTTGCCGCTGAGCTAAATCCCCAGCCCATTGCTTTTCTTTTATATTTAAGCAGAAAGTAGGGTTCTGACAAGAATTTCCTACAGGTCTCACTGGAGACAATCTGACTAGTAAGTTAGAGTACAGTACCCATCTCAGTGATTCTTTATAATTCTGAGACCTGTAAGATGAATATTTAAACATACAACATGATTTAGTAGCAATTTTTATTTTTAGTAAGTAATCATTCTTAATTATCATTTTAAATTTTAAAGATTATTATTTTCAATCTCTGAAGTTCTCCCTCAGCCAATACACAAATGTTTCTGGAAAGCTATTTAATTTCTACATGTTCACTTAAGCACAATACTGATTCAAAATGCTTTTTCCTATTATCGAGAAAGAAAGAAAACAAAAGAGGGTGGGTTATGGGAAAAATGTCACATAAAATTGGCTGCCTTCTGAGACTCAAAGCAAATAACACAAAGAAATCCAAAGGAAGGGGCCTAGTTCTCCCTTCCCCTTAGCTCTGCTTCACTCAGTGTGGCAAAGTTGAAATACATCTACAGGGAAGGTGAGAACACAGAGGACCCTTCCTTCCTCTGAAAAGGAAAAGGGCTGGTTACATCAGAGCTCCATGTAAACTTCATAAACATTTACTAGAACAATCAATTCTTCAAACCATCAAGCTCTTTCTGTTTAACCCAGTGAATGGATAATTAATAGCAGCCTCTTTTTGGATTGTGACTAGATTGCCAGATCTTGCACAGCGAGGGTCCTCTTCCCTCCAACTCACTTTGCCTGAGCTGTGCTCTTCAATACATCCTCTTACAAAAACTAGCATTTTAATTCAGCCTTCTTGGCAACTAATTGCACGTTAAGTTTTTTTAAAAAGATCTTTTGGTTCCCTATATGAATATAAAATAAAGGTTACTATCACACATTACTCATTTTTTTTTAATGGCACAGAATTAATTTCTTTAAATAGGAAAATAAAAGCTCCACTCTAAGATCAGAAGAACATTAAAGTTTGAATATTTTTGATATGTATATTAACATTTCTGTGACTTAGATATCATATGGAAATCAACACTATTTTTCAAGATTACCAGCAGTCTTGCGCAGAACACCGTTTTTCTTTCTCAATTGACCCCACTGTAGTTATACACTATTAATCTAAAAATTTACATGCACTAATATTTTTATAACTTCATTGTTCATTTCAGATATATGCTCCAAAAATGAAACAGGCTTATGTCATGCTAAACCATACCCAGATTTTGTAATATTTATACATTTGTTTTAGGCAAAGTTTAAGATACTATAGACAGAACAGCCCATGACAAACAAGTCAGGGGACAAATGTGTCATTTACTCCATGACTACTATTAGTTCCCATGTAAGCAGAGAATTAAGATTATTTGAAGGACCCTCCGTGAGTGCACAGCACATGTCTGTGTGGAGGACTCTGGGCCCAGCATCAGGAGTGCATTTTTGTACAGAGATGCTTCATCATACAGCTCCTGTCATTACCAGAAATAACTTCTACAATGCACACAAACTCTACTCATATTGTTACTAATGCAATTATATATAAAGAAAACCTTTTCATGGATTAATAATGAAGAAGTCTTATAAAACAAATCAACAAGCAAGCATTAACGTAGAATTAATTAATTATCCAAAAACCCCCCAAAAAACAAAAAAGTAAAAAACAACCAGAGCCACTTACAGGGCTTGATGGAGTCTTTGGCCAGCCTGGGCTGCTAATGCTATCGCTCTCATCTCCATGAAAGGAGGAGATGCTAGCAGAGCTGGGGGACATTGGGGAAGGGACTGGCAGGTTGCCTGGGGTTGGGGGCTGAGAAATACCCTGAGAGCTGTAGCTATCCTGTGGTAGAGGAATAAAAAAAAAAAAAAAAAGACAAAGGTAGGGCAAACTTTATTTAAAATAACAAAAAATACATCCAGTTTAACAGACTGATTTTTATATATATTTTATATATATATAAAGACACATACAAACACACACACAAACACACATATATAAAGGTATTAAAACAACATTCTTAATTAGTATGATTTGGTAAGTTTGCTGGATGCTGGATAAGGCCACAAAGCCACCATGCTTACTTCAAGCTTACATGGAATGCTAAGCATGGATTACCCCTTATGAAAGGAAGAAAGGAAAAAAAAAAAGGCTGTTCACCTTATTTATCAAATAAGGCAGGAAAGCAAAATATTAAGTATGCTGTTGTTGCTGAGGCGGCCAAAACAGGAAGCTATAAACTGAAGGCAGAGAAAATGGCTGCAAGTATCAAAACCAGGCAAGATCCCCTGCTTCTCCCCACCCCCAAAGCAGTTCTCTTAGGTGGGTCTTGTCCCTCCACCCGCTGCCCCCACCATGAGTTAATGCCGTAAGAACTAGTAACTTTCAGATCCACACCATGAAGGGGGTGGGGAAAGAAAAGAATATGAAAATGCTGTACAAAATGAAGGCATGCAGAAGAGAAGAAAACAAGTGAGAAAAAAAATGTAGCCAACACCAGAGAAAAGATAACAGCAGGGCAGCTCTGGCCAGGCAGTGCCCACACGCATGCAGGGGAGGAAGTACCTTCGACTTGCTCTCAGACTGTGGAGTGCCTTCTTCTTTGCCATCTGCTTTGAGAGGCATGGGCAGTTTGGGTTCACCAGGAGACATCATATCTGCAAGACCCATAGATGCTAATCGAAAACAGGAGAGAGAGTCAGGATTATACATGTGGCTTGTCAGACTGTTTCCTGCCAACATGAATTACTGAAGTGAATGAATGAAGCATATGGAGCCTGAGCTTTCCCTGAAGGAAGGAAAGAACAGAGAAATGATAACTAGGAGAGTACAGATTTCTGAAAGCTGAATGTACCACATTCTGGCGACCCTTCTTCACAGAGAGAGAGAGAGAGAGAAAGAGAGAGAGAGAGAGAGAGAGAGAGAGAAAGAGAGAAAGAAAAAAGACAATAATTCTGTATGTTTTAAATCCAAACCACTGAAGTTCAATTTATATTTTTTTCTCAAAACTATCATAGCTTTATCAGTGTAAGCAACAAGTGGAAAGAAGCTACATGTTTAAATTGCTCATCAAGTATTAAAAACAAATGCTGGGTATGTGTAGCTTTTACTTTAGTATGTGTCTAATTTTCTCAATTCAAATAATCTGCAGTTTGTAAAATTAGTTGGTATTTCTTACTGTCTCCTTTGAAATTCTTATCTATTGTATATGGTCTAGTCTAAAATAAGGGAACATAATCATATGAATGACTTTAAAAACTATGATCAGAAATAAAATTTTGAAGGGAAAGATTTCTAATTACTTTGCAGTGGGGCTGGTATCCTTGGCCTGGCACAGACCCTGCAGTCATGAGCCCTGCCTGGCAGCTCATCACCAGCTCAGATACCCACAGTGGCTCCAGAGCCAACACATTCTCTCTCTAGGCTCAGTAATGCAATCGTCTCCTCTAGGCATTAGATAAAGGCTCACCAGAGAACAACTGCTTCATACATTTATTGCAGACACTAATAGACACTTTCAGGTTAAAAATATGGGTTTTGATTTCTCTTTAAAGGAAGAATAAGACTATAGTAGCGAATCGGTGTAGCTATCCAGGGACTAACAGCTGAATTTCCACAGAACCCCACTGTGAAAACCATCTGCACAACCCTGGGCTGGAGGGGCTGTGAGGGAGACACCAAACAGATGTGTGAAGAACCAAGTGAGATGGGAGGCTAGGGGACAGGAGAGTGAAGGACAAGCCTTACAAAGCAGTGGAAGCCAGAAAACACTACCTATAAAAATAACATGAACCTGAGGTCTATGTGCAGGACTCATCTCACACCCTGAAAAGATAAGTGCTGGCTCATTGAGGCAGGACACAGAACACAGTGTGCCAAGAAACCAAAAAACTACCAGCTTTAAAAAAGGCTCCACAGATTGCCCACTACAAAATGATTATTGCACATATTCATGTATTACTATGTTTTAGAAAATAATTAGTTTTAATTACAGCAGTGAGAGAGTGAGCAGGCTCTGGTGAATTAGCTGGCAAGCTCTCTGGTGCTAATTTGCTAATATCGTTAGCATCACTGCAGGTTGAGACCATAGGTCCTGCCAAAAAAGCCTACCCTGCCACGTGCCTGTAAGTTTACATCAGCATACTCAATAATAAACTCTGAAATCCTGTATTTTCCACAGGCACATTGGCTAGTGTTTCAAAGCCCATTTGCAGCCCAGTCAGCCCTTAAAGTCATCACAACACACACAAATCATAATTAGGATGTTTTTCTTTTTCTCAAATTACTTTCAATACGTAGACTTTAAGAACTGGAACAAAAAGCTTTTTCAAGTGATGCAGCTGCAGAGAAAAATCTATTGGGATCAGCTAAAAATGCTGTTATTTTTGTGAATGTGTGAAACCTCAAAAAAGCAGCTGAGAGATATTACAACCAAGACCGCCTTGTTCAAAGTAGTGGATTGATTTCGTGCAGTGTTATCTCTGGAGTCTAAGAAGACAGGAATTAGAAAACGTGTACATTTAAAAACGTCCTCTTTAGAAGAATAGAAATATTAAAAAAAAAGCAGCAAAGTGTAAAAAGAGGGGCTTGTATATGAAATACCACGTGTCCTTTTTTTCTTATCTATAAAATGGGTTTGCAGATATCATAGCTAACACAATTCCAGAGAAGTGGGGAGGTCATGTAATAGTGATAACTTCAAGTAGTCAGTATTTGTATGAATATTACAATTATGTCTGAATATTATTTTGAACTTATGAATAATATCATATTTTATATCATCAATAAAAAGCAATTTTAATAATAAAGAACTAGAGTAATGTTTTACTAGTGATAATTTATACTGATTTAAAAATTGGACTTACATAAACATAAACATTGTGTTGATTTAAAGCTCCTCAAATAGCTTAGATGGACATTTTAGGTATGCAAATTATAAACACTCAAAATTACATTGCTTTATTATCTTGAGAGACAAATAAGGATAGAATGTACAGTAATAGTTTTATAATTCTTCTGCCTGACAGTATGAATTTTATTTTACCAAGTGGATCATAAAGTCTTTTCTCACTATAGCTTCTACTTTTTTTTTTATGAAATGCTTATTTTTTTACTTCTTACCAGAATTCTCAATGAATCACTGCAAAGAGCCCAACATCTCCTTGGGCAATGGTACTCCAGGGGCATTAGTTTTTCCTTGTTTCCCAGAAAAGCAAGACCCACTACTATCCTAAGGATGTGTTACATCAAGGTACTGTTCCTTTTCTCACTGACACCAGTAATCTAGTATGGAAAGTTCAAATGCGAGGAGGAGCAGTAAGAAATCTGTGGTTGCATAAAGTGCTGCCTGAGTGCTGTAAATACATTTCAAGCACAGCCTCCAGCTATGCTATTGAAATTTAAGAGCTAGAGTGAGTTCTTAAAGGCAGCTTGGGTCATGGTCCTAAGGCAGTTATTCTGCTCTAGATTTAATACATTCAAAAGAATATAAAGAACATATGAAGAAGTAAAACTGAAACTAACCATTCATTCCTGTTTTCTCCAAGCCTCTTTCAGTCTCCCTACAAGGCTGCAGAGTTATTTCCAGAAGATGGTAAAACAGGATCAGAAACATACTTGGTTCTTTTCTTTTTTTTTTCTGGTACTGGGAATCGAACTCATGACCTTGCGCTTGCCAGGCAGGTGCTGTGCTGCTAAGCTAAATCCCCAGCCCTGGTTATTTTCTTCTGATGGCGATATACCACATTCTGGAAAATATTTTATTCCTTGTTTCTGAAAGAACAAAGGGCCCATCTTTGTGTGTATACCTGTAGATGTTCATGACTATTGATATATGTGCCCAAATATAAAATGCATTCTTATTACCATACATACAAGAGATATGGAAAAAGCTCAGGCAATACACTTCCCCTTCAGCAAGGTCATGAGAAAATTCTTGAAACATCCCTACTGTGAGAACCTCCTTGGGGACAGTAACAGTGAGAGGTTGGAGGCTGGGTGTGACCCCTAATTTGCACCAGCGGTGCTCCCTATGCAGCCACGCCAGTAAAGCTGTTACACATGGTTGCTCTAGGAGAATGGCCAGGACAGCCCAGTCCCTGTGACCTAGCGCAACAGTACATTTTGCCAAGATCTCAGCAAGCACTTCCCTTGTTTACAACAGCTGGTTTTCAGGGGAGGAAGGGATTCACCTAAAATCATTAACTTAAAGCAGGCCAACAGACACTTCTGTCAACGTTTTGGGCACTCAAACACCATCATGAGTGCTAAGGACCCAAAATTTTCAGTAAGACACCAAAGTTCTAAGAAAACAGCTATCCAGCCAATAAGTTTACATTCTAAGCAGTTTTGTATGCCTTTTTAAAATCACAAAACAGCAAACTGTCTGGTCAACAGCTAATGTATACAAAGCTGGTGGTAGCTATGCCAGGGCACAGCAGAGCAAAATATGGTGGTACTTTGGTTCATGGATTTAATTTGTTCTATGATTTTGGAAAAGACAGCCATGTTCATGTTTGTATGGGAAAAATGGTTATGGTCCTGTCTGTTACCTGATGCAGAGTTTGCAAACAAAAGTGTTCGCGAACCAAGGTACCACTGTACCCCCAAACCTGCAATTCTCAAACTCTGGCATGCACCTGTGGAAATTACCTGTGCAGTCTGTTAAGAATGCAGACTCCTGGGTCCATCCTCAGAATTTCTGATGGAAACCTGGGAATCTGTAGTTTTAACAAGCATTCCAGAGATCCTGAAATAGGTGGTTCACAATTTTGTGGCAGTGTGATGTATTGTTTTCTTTGTAAAGGACTATTGTAACTACTATGCCCTGTGTAGGCTAGGCATTAACAGGACACTTTGCATGTGGGACTGAGCAATGCTGGGAGACAGAGAGACTCATTACTGCAATTTGATCAGATCTCTTTATAAAAGAAAGGCATGGCTACAGTGGCACATGGCTGCCCCTTTACTGTCTACAGGACATAGAGTGGAAATGGCCTACATTTTGTAGAGTGTCTTCTGGCGAGGGAAACTTTGAAGTACAGATGGTAGGTATATATGTTTTTAAATCTAGATGTCTACTTTAAGATGATGGTTTATATGAAAATGAACATATGGCTAATAAATATTATAAATGAAATATAAATAGGTATAGTTCAACTAACAGATATTGTTAGTTATTGATATTGTCAACTAACAGATATTGCACACAAGGGTTATTTAACAAGGCTACACATGACTTGCAATTTTCCCTTTACATAAAGTTCTAACCTTCTAATCTAAATAGTTAAAACAGAACCAAAAAAGCTCTTTCAGAAGGAAAGATCCCCACTGCTTACCATTATAACTTCCTGTGGCATTTTAAGTAAAGAAACAGTCATCACATTTATAGTCACACTGACTCCATTTAAATAATTACTCGCTCACTGAACCTTGTAACAATTTGTCACTACACAGGAAGATTTTTTTTTGGCCCTTTACACTGTCTGCAACACAACTGTCTGAACTCAGTGAAGAGAATGCTAGAATGCCAGTTGCACTGGCTGTTAACTGAGATGCAGAAAATTCTACTACCAGCCCTGGCCAGCATTTGCATTATTTTTACTTTCTGTGAAAGTACACTTTGATGGAGAAATATTTTACTGTTATCATTGGTAATCTGTCTCCACTGGCTCAAGCCAAGAAGATGGATGTAGTGGTGAGTCATTCCTGACCCATCTCTACCCAAATGTATACCTTAGCTCCCAAATCCTCAGAAGCTACACTGTAATGTCCTAATTCAGAGATTAACACAGCTATAGCAGATTCACACAGACCTATCAATAGATAAACAGTAAATACTAAATGGTCAATACTCCTTCAATGTGCTCAATAATTACTTTCTACTGGGTAACGTTTGACTTAATAAAGCTGAAAAAAAAAATCACATAAATGTGTACAGCAAAATTTATGTTTAAATGCTTAAAAATTCAGTATTTCAAAATGTACAATGCAATAAAACAAACTACTACTTCACATAAAACACTGTGAGAATAATTGGCCTTTGAACACATTTCCTCTGTAGGAGATAACGAGCAGCTGAATTATCTGAATAATAATAATAATAAAGCCTTTGTGAGTCCCCGTTAAACTGGTTATTCCTCAGGAGTACACACATCTTTTCGGGCAGGGCACTGTGCCATGTTTATTGCTGGTTATTTTTTGTGGCCCTGAGGTCCAAACAAAAAAGGGAAAAATGAGTACTGCTAATAGGTAAAAATTTATTACGTAGTTTAAATAGTCTGGAATAATTTTATTTCTAGAAGACAGACAAAACACAGACTGTTTTGTCACAGACTGTCACAACCCAGATCCTCTGTCACCCAGGAAAGCACTGCTCAGGCTCCTTGCAACAAACTGCTGGAGGTTTGCATTTTTATCTCTAATGAAAAATACCCACTTTCTTTATGAGTAACTAGGTTACTTTATTGATTTAAAAACTCCATTTTAACCAATATTAGTTATGTGTGCCTCTTTCACAGACCTTTCAGAGAATAATCAGGGAGTGCCAGTATTAAATGAGACTCTAGAAATTGATGACTTCGAAGCTCAAACAGGAAGCATGGCCTCTCCAACGCCAGAAGAAAGCAGCAAAAGGCATCCCTGAGGGAAAAAAGGTAGTTGAGGGAGCCAGGGCTCTAACTGAAATGTTTTCCTGACATGTCATGAATCAGGACACAGAGCAGCTAAACCAAATTCTGTGTTAACTGAAGGAGCAAACCCCACCAGAAGGGTCTCTGCCACTCAGCCAAATGTACCACACTGTCTTACTATAGAACCAGCACTCTTTATCTGTGGGAAGTTCAGAAACTCGAGGAGGGGACCCACTGACTGTCAGGCTCAAGGGTCTCAGAGTCAGGAACATGGGAGGGCTGTGGACATTCCTGATGTTTCTCACAAACTCACAGAATACTTCTAATGTACTAATCAGAGGTGATTTTTGTAAGAATACAACTGTTGAGATTACAAAGTGTGTTTAAAGAACATATAAAGCATTTCTAACAGGTTTTCTATAGAGATAATATGCAAATAGTACTTAGGAACATTGTTTCCATATATACATTTAAAGGTGTTTCTCTACATGAAAAAAAGCCCTCCAAACTCCCCTTTGTCCTGCTCTTCAACCGTTTCCTCTGAAATGTGGATTCTGAATGTTCATCTTTACCACTGTCAAATACTGAGTTCTTGTTTTGGGATCTTCTAATACTCCTAAAAATTCTCAAAGATAAGAAGAATGTGGTGTCTAGCAAACAATCTCCAGTGATACTCGAAACATGAGTATATCTTATACAAACACAGAAGGAATAAAAAAATTTACATAAAATATAACAATCTTTAAGTCTCAAGTAGACTGAACAGTTTCCCCGAAGTAGGGAAGTAGTAACATTCCCATTATCTGCCTTCTTGAGATGCCTGGGCTTATTTGCCATGGAAACCTAGGAAAAGAGGCGAAGACAGGGCAGCCCTCCGGACAGAGCTGCCAGGTTACCTGTCGCGCTGTTCACCATAGCTGGTGTCATGCTGTAAGGTGGCCCCTGTGTGTTCATCAAGCCAGAACTGTTGTTCATGGGCTGGCTGTAGGGAGAGCTGGAAGCCATGAGTCCACTCTGGTTCATGCCAGGAAAATTACCTTGCCTGTATGAAGATAAAAGCACAGGCACATGTAATAACCATGCATATCAGACAGGTCTTGACCGTCTTCTCTAACAATGCACTTGTGTAAGGGTGGGGCTGTTATTTTTCATGTTTGCTAAAAATAGACTATTTCCTAAAGAGAGATGCTCAACTCCACTACATTTACACTCCATGTAAATGTTCAATACACCATTCAAAAACTCCAACTATTGCATTTACACAAATCACACATTCATAATCATATCGACTATTCCAACTTATTAATCATATAGAATATAAACAAAAATAAGGAACCTGAGATAAGAATAGGAATTACAAAAGCAAGTAAAATAATGTCTAATGTTTAACAAGACCTGCCTACTAACAACTACTTAGCATCTTCACATTAAAACCAGAAGTTGAAAAATGAAAAGCAAATGGGCAGTGTGGTGATGTTACTAAAAAATCTTTCCTTGCCCTAAATTTTCTGATTTAATGAAGTGAGAAGAAACTGCCAAAGCTCTCAACTCTACTATTTAACTTTTTGAAGTTAGGTTCTATTAGAAACAGCAATTTCCTGATATTGCAATCACATAGTGGACCCCAGAGCTCTGCTTATTCTTGGTAGAGCTTCTCTGTTACAGGAGAAGACAGGCACTCAGATTGACTAGTGTCCCTAATTGGCAGAGTATTTGCCCCTCATGGTACACACTGATGACATCATCTTGGCAACTTAGTTTTATCCTATGCTTGGTTGACAAGAGACAGTTTTTATTCATCCTTGCAAAGAAAAGGGAATTCTTTAATTTGAAGGAGACAACCAGCTCTTTGACATTGGTAATGAGATGTGGGCAGGGGATTTAAATGGCTCAGTGGTCGTCTTCTCCCAGGGACAATTCTCTTGTTCTGTAATAAGAGTTAGTACCACTGTGGTAAAACTTTTAAAAGATTCTATATTGCTATGGCTTGTATCTAGCTGTCCCCTCAAAGCCTCATGTGGTCAGAGGTGGGGCTTTTGGGAGATGGCTGGATCTAGGGAGTGAGATACTTGGATTAAGGACATGATTTTGGGATTGATTCATGGTGCTATGCTATAATTAAGGGTGTCCTCTCCAGTGTGTGAGTGCTACCCACCCTAAGAGCAGGTAATCTAGATAGAATATAAGGGAAAGAAAGAATACTGCTACCACTGCTTGTCACTTGCTGATTTGCTACTTTACTACTTTGCTGCCTTCTGCCTGCCATCAACTGTTTCTCCTCTATGGTACCCCTCGCCATGCTATCCTGCCTTGGAGCCAATTATGAACTGAAACCTCTACATACTGTGAGCAAAAATAAACCTTTTCGCCTTTAATTTTGGGTGTGGGGTATTTTGTCTCAGCAACGAGAAAAGTAGCCAAGATACACATTTATAGTCAAGTGCTCCTTATGCAAGTAGATACAAAACTTCAAACTTTGATAATATTACTATTAGGAGTAAAGCTAAGAAGAGGGCTTCATTTATCTGTTCTACATTAATTCTGATTCCTGCTCCACAACCATTAAACTATCATATAGTAGCTGTTAATGTATTAACAGTCAGCATTTTATATGGGATTCCTTAAAAATTAACATAAATCATTTTCTGAAATCAACCTTTTTTTAATGCATCTATTTTCAGTGGACTTTCTGCCTTGTAGAAAGGTTCAAATAAACAGAGACTAGTTGAAAATAAAGTAATAAAGCCTTAATATCTCCCTTCCCCCAATAACAACCAGTCAAAGAAATTCTGTACCGATACTCAATGATGGCTTGGAAAGAATATTCTCAGAAGGCTGAAAAATGAACAGTGGAAGTGAATGTCTGGGAGAGAGACTGTTATTCAGGGCTTGGAGTCTCAGCTTGCTGAGGGTCCACTTTGGTTACTATGGAGAGCTGACTACTATTACAAGGCCCAGTGTTCTCCAGACAGACATGAAATCATCTACTGGCATCAGACTGGCCTATAGGTCATCAGCCATGTCTAACGGTATTGCATAGGAGCTACGAACATATGCTATGTGGTTTGGGTCACAGCATCATCCTGTGGATGGCTGGTACTAATTTAAGTTTCCTGGGTTCCCTTCTGATGTGTTTTTATTCCCATACAAGATAATTCAGCACTCATGGAAGTTGCAGAAACAGCTCCTATTGGGTCATTCTCTCAATTTCTTAGTGGGTAAACACCTAGTGGCACACTTTATTTCTGAACAGGCTGTTTTCTGGATGGAAGACTTCTTCCAAATTATTGACTGTTTCAAGTCAGAGACAACCTTGACACCTTCTCTAAGATCCACTTTAGTGCACTTCACCCTTCCCCTCCTTCCAGATGAGATGTCACCCCTAACATCTTGATTCAAGCCACACCTGTGTCTTATACAGTACTGAGCTCCCCGCTGGGTGTGTTCAGTTTCCACATGTCTAGGTTCTTCTAGGTGTTCGAGCCTTGTGAGAGGAAGATGTAGGTCTAAGTAACCCTTGCATAAGACAGTTATTAAAAACATATGTAAAAGGAATAAATTGATAGCATATTTAATACTGTACAATGACACTGTAACATCTGGTCACCTTTTCAAGCTTCCACCAAATTGAGTTTCACATGTAGTGTAACTAATATGTATAAGATTTGTCTCTAACACGGTAAAAAAGAGAATCAGAATTTACCAGGTAGAAGGTTAAATAAAGTAACTGACCAACCTTAAGCTACGATTCTTTCCCACATCAGTATTGCCCACCTTTGGTCACTTTGATAACAACATTGCACAAGCCTACAGTTTTAAAAAAATACTCTTAAAATAACAAAAAAGTAAAAGACTTAAAAAGTCTGTGTGTTGGATGTCTGTTGCCTGTTACAGTGGTCCTCAATTAGGTCATACCTGTAGTTTAACAAGTATGGTTAGAAAACCAGGTGTCTTCCCTCTGACACTAGCTGTACTTTCATTGTCTCTTTGGGTCTGGGAACAAATCACTGTAGTTCCTTGAAGGGTCTCAATTTTTACATCTGACCATGGAGGGGCTGGTAACGATACAACATCAATACCTTACTAAATACCTACAAACATGCCTATGATTTCTAGGCACTTTACCATTTAATTTTTTAAATTCCTAAAGGAAGGTACAATTATTTACATATACAAAGAAGAAGATAAGGATCAGAGAAAAAGTGTGACTTGCCTAAGGTCACACAGCTGGTTAATGACAGAAGCAGAGTTCCTCAAGCCTGCTTTTAGTCCAGTGTACTATACCACTTTTTCCATAGGTCCTCTAGCTCTGCTAACATTTGATAAAAGAAAGTCTAATGGCACTAGAGCTACCTGTGTGACACCATTCTAATTCTATCAGTTTCGTTTGTGAATCTCACTGTAGAAAGCTGACTAAATAGAACAGTGCTTTCTCAGTCCCCTCTCTGGGCTTCCTGACATCTAGACTTTAGAGATGTGCTATAGTGAGAGGGTAGCGCATGTGACAAGAACAGTTCAGTGGACCTCCATATCTAGGAAACAGTGGACTCTGTGTGCTGCAGACAGCAAAAGGAAACCAAGTCTTCCCAGGAATGCAAGCCCAGTGTGGTCTCAAGCACAGCAGCTGGTCATCTGTGCAAATGGGGAGTTGGTCACTCATAGTGGCAACAGAAATCATCTTCACTATGCAAAAGCAGACTGTCTTCCCTGGACCTTTGGTGCAGTGAATTACTGAGCTATTATTTCTAGAGGTCTACATGCTTATAAGTTTTGTGAGTAGATTACTGCTCTCCTGATTTGACAGATTCCAAGTCCATGGCCATGGCAATAAATGCCCACCATATCTTGGGGGAGGGATTCATAATTTGATACACATTTTCAATGAATTTTGTGTCACTGACAGGCACTAAGGTAGCTTCCAGACCATGCACGGTGAGGTGGACCAGGTCAGGTGGTGCTGATGAATCAGTCTGCTGATTGCACAGCCCTTGCTCAGCTGGGTCAGACCTGCCCCATAGCACTTTTCCCTGTCTTTCTATGGCAGTATAATGTGGAGCTTGTTACATAAGCATGCTGACCTGCAGAATAACCAGAAGAACTTCATTTAAATCAGTCTTGAATTGGACTAGGTATATGTAAGACCTGTCATCATAAAACCCAGGTTGTTATGAAGAGAATCATCCAGAAGTAGAACCTGAAAATAAATTTTTGGAAGCACTCCTGATTCCCATTCTGCCCACATCCACATATAGATTTTTTCAGATTTTTATTTTTATACATTTCATAGATTTTTTTTTTTTTTTGCACTTTGGAGATTCCTCAGAGATTACATATTCAACTGCCAGCAAGGGGCTGACTGAGGGAGAGGGGTGGAAGCAAACACCAATTTTAAAGTGACAATTTTTAGTGGTTTAGGGTGAAGGCAGAAAGGGGACTAGAGATCACCACTACAGATTGCAGTTGGCAGTTAAAGATACTTGACTGAAATCTTGTACAGTACACATGAATGAAGCCTCTTCAGAATCGCAGTTGGGGAAAGTTCTCCTCTGCAGGACTCTGCCATATCCACTGCATATGCCATTCTGAGTTACCTCAAGAGTGAACATAAGGCAACACACCCTTTATTGGAATACTGAGCATGACTGTCAAATGTATATCTTTCTCCATACAGGCTGCTAATATAGGTGTAGACTGAGCTATGAAGCCAGCATTTTTGCTTACTGACAAAATAAACCAGGCCAGCCCTGAGCAGTTAGAACCAGAACTGGAAATTCTGAAAAACCATAATACCAGAAGAATTTCTTTTTATATATATTACTTTGGAGAAAGAAAATAACAATTTGTTTCTTTGGAGAAACAAAGTAACAGTTATATACCTAACATTACACAGGATGGCTTATTTTAAATGTTTTATAAACAAATTAGTTTTACACACCTCATGGGTAAAACAGATTTCCAACAGAATTACATGGTGAATGTTTCAAAGCAGTACTAAGGAGAAATCCAGTTGAAGTTATTTTAAATTTAATATCTGAAGAGAAA